TCAATATTTACTGAAAAAAAAAAACTTGGGCTCTTCATCTGAGAGTAGCGTTTCAGTTCCTGCTACATTCACAGTACAACAAGAGGATAGATCATCTATCACTGCACTGGTACAAAACAACACCACAGCTACTGATAGTCAAGAAAACATGATAGAAATATAACATTCTTCAAAGTCCATCAGCATTTTAACTGTCCACACAGTCTGTTCAGCTGTGTATTGGCTGGTAAATGGTTGTTTTTGTCATCAAACTACACACTGGCACCACAAATCATCAATATTTTAATCAGACACCAAAATTGGTCCCGATTATTAATCCATTGAAATGTATTTCAAAACAAGATGATGAACAGTAAAAAGCACAGCACAAAGAGAGTAGCTTAGTCTGGGTGGCACACTTACATTCTTGGCAATAAAAGACCCTATATTAATGTTTTAAAGAAGAAGTAGATAGCCATAGTCTGCAGCAAAGTGTCCTCAAATTATAAACTTCAAATGACGTTAATATTTCACCAAGAAAATACAATTTGTGGATTTTTTTTAATCTATAGTAAGACTTTAGAGAAACCTCTTTGTCAACATAGAATCAAACTACAGAGAAGTTAGATTGAAACCATAAAAAGACATTCCATTCACTTTGGTTGTCACATTCATGCGAGTTGCAGTAGGAGTGGAGCTGTTCATGCAGTACATGTCCACTGTGTGGCAGAGTCTTGTGTTCAGTGCAAATTCTCCTCAGCTTACAGGGCTGTCAGACTCGCATACTGTAACACATTCTGTGTCCAACTTCTTGCACACCAACCGTAGGAGGGATTCTAAAATAGAAAGCTGGAGACTGTCACTGGCCTGTTCAGCAAAGACCACACTTCAGTTCAAGGTTCCTGCAAGGGTCAGAATACAGTAAATGATAGTTCCAGTGGTGCATACATGGTACACAGTCCAAATGGGTCACAAGATAAATCTCAGGGGGAGCAAAGTGACAGGACAGAAGAAGAAAACACTTCTCCAATGCTTCCTTCCATCACTATTTTTTCCCCTTTGAATATAGTGATTAGTTTAACCTCTAAAACATTCAAATGATCTGAGAAGATTGGTACTTGATTGAAATGCTTACAACTAACATGCACCCAGTGATGACAGAAGCCAAAAAAAAGCTATAAAAAATGTAAGATATCACTCTTATTTCTGTCTATAAATATGAAGCTACAGACAGCAGCTGATGGCTCCCACTACATATTTAATGGCAGACAGACAAAAGAGTGGGATCATAAAAATGCAAGGTCCACAGTATATGATGACCTGAAGACCCAAGAGTGAAGTCTCTGAAGGACAGTGATCATAGGTAACACAGGAAAGTAGTTTAACTCAACACACCAAAAATAACAATAGCAATCTTAGCTGGAACGTAGCGAACAGTAGGAGTTTTCTTTTGCAGCAAAAGTGAACATCACTCTCACCTGGTTATAGGTGGACATCAAACACTCCTTCCTCCACTGTCTCTATATCCTCTTCAGCAATTACTGGTGGAAACCGAAAAGGTGAGAGTATAGAAATGAGCAATAGACTGGTCAATCAAATGGAAATGCAAAACACTGCCAAAAGCTAATGAAATGTGTGGCCTCTGTCTGTTTATCATGCCGATTCATTTTCCTAGTGCACTGATCAAGTGGGTCCACACTGCTATAAAACAGAGCCAGGCAGGGCACCACTTTTGCTAATGTCTGATGAAAACACTGCATCTATGAGTCACTGGCCTCGCTGTGGCAGGCCAATCACATTTCCATTGCAAATTATACTCTATTGTCTGAGAATATCTCCCAAATGTCAGCGCTCCATATGCCTGGAGGGAAACAAAACCACCCGTCAAAAAGTGGAGGTGTTGCAGTGGTGACAGGAAGTGCTGAAAAGGTGTTACAGAAAATTCTAGCTTTTCTAATGACAGTTATGGGAAAAATATATTTGTCTGCTAGCGTTTTTGTACATTTTCAGATTATGATGGCACTCCTCATGAGCAATGTGATGTATTATATTGTATCTATCTTAAAATCAAGAACACTAATAAAACTACTGGGAGCATTTATGTCATGAAAAAGGCAGAACATTCATTAGTCTTTAAGTCTCAGGTGTTAATATAATGGGATCATCAACAACATATGTGCATTTAACAGGTAGTGTTCCTTTGTATGTAAAGAATTACATATAGACAAATCTGATATTTTCATTAACATTTTATAATCAGTTGGTGATCATAATTTAAAAAGGACATGAGAGGAGCCAGCAGCAATGTTCATCATGGTTGAGATGTCAGTGTTTAATTTATTTTAAAACCAGACCTTCAATATAATCCAGTAAATATTTGTGTGTTATTTGTGTTTTGAGCTGAGAACAATTTTACCAAGAGCAACAAAAGTGTGTTTGAAGTCTCAAGCAAAATGGTTGAAAAACATCAATACTTCAATAGTTTTTACTGAAAATGTTAGTTTTAGTCTTTGGTTCTACTTTGCCATGAAAACAGTCTTCTGTTTTGTCTGTAAGTACAACCAAAGCACCTCTCACCTGTATCCTGCAAGCTGGGTGGGGTGTTGGCAGGTGGGGGGAAGCTGTAGGACCTGGCCTGGAGAGCCGGCGGTGTCTCGTGGCTGATGCTCTTGGTCCTCTTCCTGCACTCTACAGCCAGGCGGCTTCGGCAGGCCTTGTGGCAATTCACCCCGCAAGCTGCAGCCGGAGCATCCGCATGGAGAGAAAGGATGGTGGCAGGGAGCGGGGGTGTTGGAGGAGAGGGACGGAGAGTTACACAGACAGGAAGCGAGACAAAAAGAAGGGAGGGGGAAGGCCAAGAGCAGGGAGAAGACGGGGAGTGGAGTGGAGAGAGAGGGAGAGGGTCAGACAGAGGGATGGGAACAAACAGAAACATGGAGGCAAATGGGAGAGTTAGTGGTGACAGTATAGTGTTTCGACATGCCGTGCAGAAACGTGAACAGTGACACACACACAGTGAGGCCAACTGTGCCTGACAACAACTCTGTCAACCGGGGGAGTCTAAGGGGAGAGGAGAGGTGAGGAGAGGAGAGGAGGGCCCAGAAAATATGAGAGTCAAAGAACCCAAACACACACTCGTCTCCAAGTGTTACCAATGATTTTTCTCAACATTTAAATGTTAGAAAATACTGACACTTCCAACAGCCACCTATTGGTAGTATGGGTGGGTGAGATGTAAGTAAGGAATAGTTTGACATTTTGGAACACTGATACCACTTTTCTTTCCATGCGGATGCTCCAGTAAACGTATGAAGCTACATTTGGTTCAGCGAGTCGGGAGCTGGCCATGAGTAAGACCACACTTGCTGCTGTGATATCAGAGCTGCATTGCATTCATAGTCTAACTGTCTGAGGTCTACTGCCCCAAAACACACACATTCAACTGCACACAGACACATTAAGAGTTCTGAATGCACCCTGCTCCTGAACTGCAGTGGGTGATTCATTTCACTTATGTCCCTGCTGCTCTCGCTACCTCCCTGACTAGGGGCTAACAAAGATAATGGGGATGAATAGCTGTGAGGGCTCTCCCGGTGACTTCCTCTGGACTCATTAATGCACTGGAACAAGCCAGAACACTCACACACCTCCTGTCCAGCTCCTCTAAAGTGGAGAGGAGAGTGCAAGGTTCAACAGAGTGAGTGGGTTGTGTGTGTAGATGTGGTGCAAACTAATAAAAGTAATGCATTAATCTGTTTGTGTGTTTGCTTGCCTGCCATGTTACACTCCTTTTGTCTCAACAGCAGCAATCATGTGGCTTGTGTTTGTCTTTTAATAACTGTGCAGAAAAGCTGATATGAAAGACAGTGCATTTCATAAAAAACAAAATAATGCACTTGCTTAAAATAAAAAAAAAATTGTTAATTAAGAAATTAGCTGCTAATCCAACAGACATTTTTTGTCTCATAAATACAGCATACAGACTGCTGGGAAGTAACAGACCACATGAGCTCAAAGGCCCCAAGGAGCATTAATGACTCTAGTCGCTATGCAACGCGAATGTTTGATCATAACTTGCAAGCTACTTGCAAACCAATGTGAGATGAACCCGAGTGAATGAGCAAGCAGCTAATGTTGAGGATAAGAATGGACAAGAGAGAGATGATCAGTAAAATGCTTGTTTTTCAAGAAGAGGATGAGGAGAATGTGAACACATTACATGCTGTGTCACACCAGAGCCAACAAATGACTATACATACATTAGGTCCTGGTTCCACTGCTATTACTACATTGACATAATACTTGTGCCAACAAATCAGTGAACAAAAGGTTCAGTGCCGTACATTCAGCCCCGTGCTATAAACAGCAATGCAAACTAATTTCTTGAACAACTGACAAAGCAGTGAAGTGTTATCCGTACTCCCATCTGTAAGGCTGAGCTGTATTTAATCACGTCTTGTACTGTAAGACTCCAGAAGATGGCAACTCATTTGATTTGCATTTTAAAGTTGACATAATTTTCAAGGTTTTTGCTTGACATCTGGATGATAATATATGTAGTGCAAGTTATTTAGAGTGCTGAACATCTGCAGATTATCACTACTTCATTTCCAGCATCAACACAGGTCCTCAATGGCACATCCAGAGAGGGAGGAGGGAGCTGAGTATGTGTTTTTGAAGCTAATGACCATGAGGATGATTGCTGTGTGTATGTACATTGGCGAGATGAACCTGCTTCCTCAAACATTGGTCTACAGGGAGCCCTGAAAGGGCAAATAATTGGGCATTGTATGTGCACTTGTGGTCTCAGTTGCTGGAGCTGTTAGTGAACAGAGCTGTGAGGCTGGACATACAGTAAAAGACTGTGATATATTTGCTGTGGTGTCTCTGTTGATAACATTTGCTCAACACTTCAACTCTGTGGATCTTTATCTACAAAGGGTGCGTGTGTGTGTGTGCGCGTGCCTGGCATTGCTCACCCTGTGGGGGCTCAACTTTCCTTGTGGGGACCATGTAAATCATTAACATTTAGAGTGAAGACTTGGTTCAAGGCTATGGTAAGAATTTGGGTTTAGGCAAGTCTCCATGAAATGTATGTAAGTCAATGTACTGTAAGGTCCTCACGAGGAAGGGTTAGGGAAAACGTGTGTGTGTGATGTTTGGAAATTGGTGACGTCAAAAAGAGTTACTAATTATTTGAAAGGCCATACCCGTCTGGGTGGACCACACACACATCTGTAGCAGATGTTCAGTGAAAACAAATGCTCTTACCTTTACACTTGTAGCCTTGCTTGTAGAAGCCCCATATCTACAAAAGAGAGAGCGGGAGACTTCAAGTGCTTGTCTGTACTTTATGACCACAAATAGTTGTTGGTTTACACAGTGATTGCATAATATCAACTCCCTGAATGTTAGAAATGAAGCAAAACCACAGTGCAGTAATTATTGGGAAGCCAGCAACTAACAAGTATTTCTTGCCAAATTCCCCACAGTGAGCATGATTGATTTTGTGCTTTTTGCTTTGCATGTCAATTTAGAGTACCGCACAACCAAATCTGGACACACAAACAAAGAGTTATAGAGGATTTGCATGGTTTTAGTCCGTTAACTACAAATGTAATTCATAAGAAAATCAGCCTGTAAAGATTTCAAAGTTGCCTGACGCAAACAAATGATTACAGTGAACATCTTGTCATTTTTAGTTCTTGTCAAACTTAAGTTAAACCCAACATTCAGCACGGTTTCACAGCAAAATGAATAATAGCTACATTGGTCCACAGTGTAAAAGATTGTAGTGTCATAATAATGGCTGTAAAATTGTGACCTGGCAAAGTTTGTTGTACTACAGCCAACTGTCCAATAAGTGGTCTTCTTCATGGTATTTTATAGCAGTTGTCAAAAGCTGTCAGAAGCGGTGGAGATGGAACCTAACATGTAGTGTCAGTGGAAGGCATACGGATTGGAGCTTTATAGGGTTAAAAACACTAGAAGGTGGTGCTGGGGCAGATGGATGGGACCTGACGTTCATACAGAAAACTAGAGACTGTGTCCGACACTGTGTTTTAAATGTTTTATCTGACCCCAGGGCCTTTTCCTTACCTCAGTCATCTAGTTTGTAACTTAACCTTACTTTTGTTTAAAGTAAGGTTGAGAAAAATGTTGCAATGTCACCATTTTCGAGGTCTTATTGTGAAAGTAGCATGTTTTGCGATGCAGACCAGTGTAGCTATTATATACAGTATTTTGCTGTGAGACTGGGTTGTGACATTATGTAATTTGGGAAACAGATACTGCAGTTGTTTTCCATCATCTGTGATTTAGTGATGGATGCTGAAAGAGTATAGAGGGAACAAAACACCTTCACAAATGAGTTTTGAGCTGTAAAAAACTGTGAAGCAAATTTAATGTAAAACCAATAACTACCCAAAAGGTTGCAAATGAACCTAAAACTGTATGCTGTGGGAAGTGGTTAGCAGTAAAGAGAAAGTATTCACAATTAGCATTTAACGAGCTAAAACATGTTAAAACACCCATATAGTTCACATCCCTTGTTGATACCAAGGAAGGTGAAGCACAATGGAGGATGTGAGAGAGACAGAGGGACAGAAAGAGAAAGGAGAGTGGCGGGACAGAGGGGCTGGACGGGGACCGAGATCAAGCAGGACACAGGGAGCACACAGACAGTGGGGGAACAATGACATGAAAGAGTTGAGCTGAGATCACACGCTGCACTGGCACATCTGAGGAGGCACAAAATATCCTGACCTCTTCATACACACACACACACACACACACACACACACACACAGAGCCAGAGAAACCACGGATGCACACACACACCTAACACACATACAGCTGAAGATGCACATAGAGGCACACATAAACAAAGACACACAGTGGGAAACGATGAACACAGCCAGAGGCTCTACAACAAAGAGAAGTTGGTTACGAACAGAACATCTAAACACAACTAACATCACAGTTCTGCCTACACTGACTGACCTTTACCATCTCCGTAGACTGTAAAACACAATTTACTACAAACAAAAGCTGAAAACACACAGACTTTTACTTTCTTTCAACTATATTTATATTTTTGGAATCCATTACTGATGGCTTACTAGATTTTGAATCAGCATGTTGTCTGTGGGCGAGTACGAACCGTGAGTTGACACATTATATGATCATGTATTTAAAATGAAATCTGAACAGCAGCATATGTGTATTTAGTTACTGTAGGTGCATTGATGCAATACTGGATGTTGATATTATGGTAAACACAGCCTTTGCTTTTATTACACACTGTGGTGAGGTTCCACTTCGCATATGATAAATTCTTATGAACATTTCTGACATCCAGCTATTATCTTTGTAGTAATTTAAAATCAGGTAAAAATTGATTTTTTTCCTCAAGACAAATTGGTGTGACAGCAGACACAATCCTTCTGGTAAGGGCTCAGACCTTCTGGTCACCAGATATTCAATGTAACATCTTTTTCGTCTTTATACCTTTGCACATAAATGCCATATAATTAAATTATTTTAAACTATACTTTTTCAGACATTACTTGGGAAAATATATACAGTATTTACACTATATGTATTTAGTTCTATGACAAGATTGACACCAGAAGAATGGAAGCCTAATTAAAAAAGGAAAAGGTAATATTAAGTTACAGTTTTACATGATATTACAGAAGCAATGATTTCCTGGAGTTTTGTGGTCACCATGAGGTTGCCAGGGATCCAGTAGACCTGTGACTGTAGCTATTTAATGAAAATGTACTGTATGCAAGTGATTGTAACTGCTAACAAAGAAATCCCTCTTCTTGGACTGAAAAAAAAAATCTAATATGGAGACTGGATCGCCATTATCAACCTGATGAGTTGTGTATAAGGCCTCCATGTGATTTGAAGTGTGTGCATTTGTTTGGGCGCACTCCTCTCCACTGCCAAAAGCTGCAACTGAGGCATGAGGTCACCCAAATGTCCGTGAGAGGTTTGTTTACAAGTGTTGGTTTGCAGTGACAACCTAAATGCACCAGACACATAAAAGTCAAAACCCTAGTGTTTCTCACACTGTACAAACATTCCAGCAATGAGACACAAACCAAGAGATTTGAGATTCTTTCTCTTTTTACTCTGATTCTACAAAGCTCAACTGTCAAAAGCCTAAAGACACTTGTGCATCACACATCGTAATAAATCACTTGATGTATCCTCCTCAGGTGCAAAAACACACCCTCCCTAAAGACACTTGTGCATCACACATCGCAATAAATCACTTGCTGTATCCTCCTCAGGAGCAAAAACACACCCTCTTTTTCTGCATCTCCTCACTTTGTGCATTTAACGAAACATGCATGCTGATATTTTGGATGTCAGGCCAAAGGTGGCTGCAGGTAAAACAGCACAATATCATGACGATCCAAGTAAGACACTGGGGGCGAGTGAACCCTGAGAAGTTTACAGGAGGCTCAGCTTTGCTGTTTGAGACAAGTGCTGAAAAATGGGCTGTGGGAAAATATTGCTTTTGCATAGCAGCCAAGAGGAAAAGCCTAAAGCAGGCCAATGAGGAAGTGGCTGGTGTATCTACCTCTGCCACACAGACAGACATATTCAAAGGAAGAAGCAGGCTGGCAGAGTCCTTATCTCTCCCTGCTCTGTATTCCGAGTTCCCCCTCATGATGGTTTGAGAATGCCCAAGCTTCCCCTGAAGGATGTGTGCTTGTCTATATGTGTGTGTCAAGTGTGCTCCTTTGTGTTTTAATGAAAGTCTATACATATAATCCATGACACACTTGTCTTTTCGGCATCACAATGTTCCGCTAGCTTATATGAAATAGAAAAAGATGAATGGGATGTCACCTCAGTATCTGCAGTTCAGTATGTGGGCCCTATTCCTGTTCTCATTACAGCTGAGTGCTGACTCAGCGCCTGTGTTTATATAACGTAGCTCCTTGGGGGGGACTTCAGGGAATGTTGAGAACCACACAACACACACACACACACACACACACACACACACAGATATAACACTGCCAAAGACAAGGATTATCCTGTCGCCCAATTACTTTCCTCCCATATTACCCAGAATGCAACTTCATTATCATGTGGCTATAGTTCAGAATAATTGGCAGTGCCCTGACCTGACAGGAGGAACCTGTGAGAGGCAGGGCTATCGCACACTGCCGGTGACTCCCGAGACAAATAATGAAGCGCACATGATCTTTGCAGCTACAGTACATGGCTCTGAAACAGCAGGGTGAACACAGCTGACCTTTACTTTTCTAAACAAACACATGCCATTGATTTGGCCAGTGCATTTGAAAACACAAAAGCACACAAAACAAAAATCAATTTTCCATCTTTCATTTAAAGTATGATATATATAATTACATATACACACACACACACACAGTATTTTGTGTGATTTTTCCATCAACTGTGAGAATAAGGGAGAAAAAAAAAACACAAGCTCAAAATGTGTCTACTCACAAAGCCAGCGCAGTGTTCACAGAACGTGGGCTTGACGTAGGTGGTTTCAGTGAAAGTGTGGATGAAGCCCATCTTGCAGTTAAGCAGTGAGCTGGCTTTCATAAAGTAATCAATCATCTCTTCTCTGCTGATCTTCCCATCTCTGTGAGAGGAAGCAAAAAGACGTGCGAGTTTGCTGTGAGACGGTTTCGGTTAGTTCATGCTGTAATTTAGTTCAGTCTGTAAATTGCATGGATTTATCTGTGTGATTCAGTGAGCATCAGTTAACAAATCTGCAAATGCTCACTGGTTCTTGTCCAGTTCTCCAAACTTGCTGAGGTAAGGGAAGTTGTTCCTGATTGCTTCAAATTCATCCCTGGAGATGTGGCCATCACTGTCTGTGTCAAAGTTCTTGAAGACTGACTGCATGTGAGAGGGTTTATGAAGGTTATTGTTAATGAGAATTCTGCTATAAAGGACTAATTACTGACAATGTCACTTCACTTCACATGAATGCCACACAATAGAAATGAAATATAAAGTAGATAAATAAGTAGCACAAAATCTAAGGCACTTTAAAGCAGCAAATGAAGAGATATAATAAAAATATATAAGAATATAATAAGAGAATGTATGTTATATGGGAGCTGTATGTGCAGCAGTCAACACTGAATGTGCAAACTGAGAATGTAAACATTACAGGTGGTCAGTACACATTCTCTTAAAAAGAACCCAGCTCAGGAACAGAATTTTCTTGGTCAAGTTGCCTTGTCCATAACATTTACTCTATATATTTTAGGCAAAGTTTAAAAAAGTATGTCTAAGTAAAATGATTTCCAATATCATAAAAACACATAATTAGCACACTGTCATAGTAAAGTGCACACATATGAGAAAATCAACAAGTCTTTTTTTTTAAACAGGAAGACTATGTAACATTTGTTGAACAGCAACAACTGTAGCCAAAAATGACGTTTACAGTCTAATGGTACAATGTGAGGATCACTGGTACAGATTTGTTCTTAAGTGAAACATAAAAGTATCTTAAGACAACATGTTTCATTAACCCCGTTTCTAATGTGTGCAAAACAAATTTCACCAAAGTGGTCCAGTCTTCTCGCCACAGGGATGGTTATAATCAACTACAATAAAAATAACACTCACTACACTCAGTTTGTTACCTTATGTTCTTGTCTGCTGACTTTCATCAGCAGAACTTGAGCAATAATGTCAAGGAACGGACTGTGACCTTACACAGCAATATTTATCTAAACAATAGCCACTGATTATACCAACTAAGTGAGGTAAATGTTAGATTCCCACTGAGCCGATGACTCCCATGGTCCTCGTTTCTAGCTTCCATCTCACCAAGAAGTTGACAAATGATGCAAAAAATAAAGAAACTACTCAGTATAAATATATGGACATCTGCAATGGCAAAAGTTTCTACAAAATTACAACTGGATGTGCAAATACCCATTTTATGTACTAATTTGATGGTTAGCTAAAATGTTGATAATTTTATTAATGGTTTACAATAATGGAGATGACACTGATCACTTCACAGTCTTTCAGATCTATCAGGTGAGATTTTAGAGGGCCCTAGGCTGGGAATCACTGGACTAAACTAGTTACATTTATATAAAGTAGTTAAGGCTAGCTCATGGGAAACTCTACTGTTTATCTTTAAATAGGATTTAAATTTGAATGCACCCCTTCTAGATAAGATAGAATTACTGAAGGAAGTACATCAGAAATGAGGTGTTCCTCTGTTGTAGTATTTCAGATGTAGCTAGTTTACATAATTTTAGCTCCCACACAGTCAGTGACAGTTAGGACACAGCTATGTAAAGGTAACACAATCAGAGATCAACAAACTCTAGTAGTCCACTATAACCAAAACAGTAAGAATACTATAAAGCAGATCATTCACCTATAGCCATGTGGTGCTATCACACTGTAGCCCACAGCTTCCAATTAGCCCTGAAAGTGAAGGGGGTGGGGAACTCACCTCCACCATCTTCTCTATGTGTTTCTTGATGATTGTCGGGTCAGCACTGGGCTTCACCGACACAGCCCACTCATCGATCATGGGTGGCTCGGGGTCGGGCGCAGGAGCGGGGCTGGAGTTCTGCTACAGCCAATAATAACAAACCAAAGACCATGAAATAAATGAACATGAGGGAGAAGAAGCTGCTCTCTCACAAAGAAAAGACTATGCAGAGTAGCAGTCAGTGGTTAGTACAGTGGGCCAAAATGTCACGACAGAATGAAACAGTGATTTCCAATATGCATGGTTGACATTTTATACCACTCAATAGACAGTGCATTTGTAATAGCATCGACAGTATCAAAGGGCAGATGTGTGTTTTGGAAGCCTATGTGGAAATTTAGCATCAAAACTCATTGCATTCACATACAAACACTCCCAGAGAATTCAGTGCTTCATGGATGAAACAGGGTAGGATATATCCCTAGCAAAACAATGCCAGTATGAAATCAATATTATACAAGTGTGAACTGCTCACCGCTGGCTTTCGTGGCTCTCTCTGTAGAGACATCTGGTAGATCTCCTCCTCTGTGTGGTACTGGTCCAGAGAGACCTGCACAGAGCAGTGCACAGGACTGTGAAAACCTCCACCATGACGCATCACATTAGATATGCACAGAATAATTCATTACATCACTTTGCCCTTAAATGTGTCTGTCTTCATAAAACTCTGTGTGACTACATTTCTACCACTGGCAAACAAAAATTTAAGTCAAGAATTGAGTTTATGTGGGTAAAGCATACCCTCTGCTGTGACCAGTGCCCGATTGGTGGACATCTGATTGACATTTAAACATTTAAGTTAAATGTTTGTGGTTATGAGACGCTGTTACAAATTGATTATATGAAATTTCTGATTGGAATTACACAATATTAAAAATCCAAAACATCTAAAGTTACACTTAATGTATGAGCTTCAAATTCAAGAATGATGTGCAAGCTCAAATACAGTGATACTGTATTTTACACAGTAACCATGAAGAAAAGAGCATGAACAGTTTTGGAAGCTTTAGTCCCTTATCTCCAGTCTACACTGCAAACTAAATACATTCCTGCATACATTTCAAGCTGTAGCACCTATTTGTGTTGCATTTCAACTGTAAATGTTACTGAAATATACACAAAGTGACCAACTAAGGCAGCTGTGTATCTTCACTGAAACAGTTGGCAAATATTTGTCTCTCCAAAGTTACTCACTCACAACATGAGTATCAGATGTTCACAAGGGCTGATATGTCAAAACCTGGCTGAATAAAAGTAAAACTATCTGCATGGCCAGATACTACTACATTACAGAAAATAGGTTTTTATAATTTGGGTGAACTGACCCTTTAGTGGTCTAGAAACAACATGGTATGGCAAATAAATATGACAAACATAGAAAGTATTTGCCTTTGGGTATAGACAACCAATACAGCATGTACTCATCCACTGCATCCATTGTTGCCTACATAGCTTTTCTTTTAGTCTAATTGTGTTTCCTGTTTTTATTTAGTTGAAGTAATAAGGCCTTTTGTTTGGCCTTCTGATTTAGTGGCTCTTAAGAGTATTCCAGGGCGAAAGTTAATTGTAAATTATCCACCATATTCAGGATGATATGATGGAACAGTTTGAAAGGCTGATGAATTTGACTCAAACAGGAGGAAAATCGCAGTTTAAACCAGTGTTTTGCTTATTTTAGCTCTCTGCACAGACATGCTTGTCTCCTTTCATTACTCTGAAGGGTTTATTGACTTCCTTCACCTCGTTGTGAGCCAAGCGAAACCCAAGATAGATCAGCTCCAATAAGTGCTGGCATAAACTAATTGAGTATTGACTCTGTTCAACAAACTTCCCTGATGTCCTTCGGCTCCAAAGCCCGTCAAACTCTTTTTTTTTTCATTTTCACAGAAAAAAAGGGAAATCCAGCTGAAAGCCCACACAAACACCTGCTGTCACACTGAGTAATTGATTTCTTGGGATTGCTTAAACTCAGAAAACTCCTGTTCCCTAAATCAGGAACCTGTTTTTTGCCAAAAATACTGACACACAAGTTTAGTTTAAAGGACTAATACACCACCTCAGCTTCCATTCTGAAGTGAAGACAGCAAGGAATCAAGTTTAAATTTCATTTTATACTATCACATTTTGATGCTGAATGTGTTTCAGGGACCATTTCTAGTGAAGGCTTCTGTTTGTTCTTGTTGGTGTGTGGTGATTGTCTGTACTTGTATTGTGTAATACAAGTACAGACAGCAGCAAAAGAGGAATGAGAGAGCAAAGTGTTATCAGCTAAGCAGAGAAAAGGTGTGGAAGAAGCTGCAAAACGGTTGTTCTGATGACACTTACAATTTCATAATAATGATATTCCATACACTATATTGCCAAAAGTATTCGCTTGCCTGCCTTCACATGCATATGAACTTGAGGAACAACAGATTCTTAATTCACAGGGTTTAATATGATGTTGGCCCACCCGCTGCAGCTATAACAGCTTCAACTCTTCTGGAAGGCTGTCCACAAGGTTTAGGAGTGTGTTAATGGGAATTTTTGACCATTCTTCCAGAAGCGCATTTGTGAGGTCAGACGCTGATATTGGACGAGAAGGCCTGGATTGCAGTCTTCGCTCTAATTCATCCCAAAGGTGTTCTATCAGCTTGTGGTCAGGACTCTGTGCAAGCCAGTCAAGCAATATAGTGTATGATGGCCTTTATTTGAATAGATCAGTAGTATTCACAACAACAACAAAAAAAAGATAGGAAAACTCTAAACAAATTGGCAAAACCAAATTATCACACACACAAGGGTTTAATACAAAGTCAATATAGCAATTTTGCTGCAAGTATCTTTCAGGTCATTTCTACGGCAAAAGAAATGTCCTGACAGTGAAGGTTGCAGTGCAGGTGAACAATTTAAGGTTCACTGAAAAAATGCTGAATCAGGGGCCATGAGTCTTTGTCCTGGATAAAAGCATAAATCAAAACAATAGGATGACAGATAACCATGTTCCAGTAGTTAATCAAAGATTAACCACATTACAAACTGGAGGGGTAGGGTTTGAAAGAAGTGGACACTGTGGAGGAAAAGAGGCTGAAAGATGTGCTTGACATGTATTATGGGAAATGTAGGATCCTATGTTCTTATTTTAGTCAGGATCTGTGGAACCCGACTTGGAAAAAGGGTTTACACTTCAACATGTGGACTGCAGGCACTGTGATTTTAACCTTGAACCTTCTGGTTGAAAAACAACTGCTCTACCCACCTGTCGCCCCAAACCACCAAGAAAGACTCACTTCTGCTTTTTGTAAGGCAGGTTGAACAACTGGTTACTCACTCTGGACTAATCCTCATCCAATTACAAGTTGTTTCTTCTTCATCGTGTCTTCATCTGGATTTTTGGCACCTATTTGAGTACCTTACCATCATTCATTCCATTTCACAGTTAGACTCAGTTCAGCTATACAGCAGTTCAAATCTATTTCAAATTGTTGCCAAGGACTCATGCTGCATTCAATTCATACTCTATCTTTGATCATAGGTTGGCTCACAAGATCGAGGACACTAGCACCAGACGCAGAGGAACTCTCAATGTGCTACTGTGCTGCTCACCTAAGCCCTCACCATCTCACACATCTATCATAGGATGCTATTCTCAACCGCTGCTCACCTAAGCCCTCACCATCTCAGGATAGGATGCTATTCTCAACATTGTTGCCCCAGAACATGTTCCTCCTATTAGTCAGTGTGGAATTATTTCAGTTTTTCCTGGTGTTCAATCAGAACAAAAGCAGCTTCAACCATCTACAGCAAGGCACCCACACATCACGTTAAGACCATGGGTCACTAGACTTTCCAGGCCTTTCAACTTTACATCAGATCCAACCCAGAGGACATCGAACACATCCTGTTAGCTTTCATTTCCTGGAAGGGTTTGGGAGGCTGCCATTATTTATTTCTAAAAGGTGATATACTGGCTCTTCTGACCACTCTGAACCACCTATATTCAATGCTTTGGCTGCATACTGTTTAATCTCTGGCCTTTTGTCTATACACAGATTTTGTCCCAGTTGGTTGCAGTTGAGTCTGTCTGTGTCAGTCAACTCACAGCACAGCAAAGTCTTTGTATTAAACAGGCTGCCTATTGCACAGGCTGTACACAAGTGTTTGTCCTTCTTGAAGTTTTTCCTCCTACTTCTCTGCTGTCTGGTTGGTTAATGAATGTTTTCAAATGCTATTGCACTACATGATGAACAACAAACTCACAGCACCTGATTCTGACCAGTACAATTTGTTCATTGCAGGTACATTTTTTATTCAAGCCACATATTCATCTCGAACTCGTGAATATTCACAGCCTGTCCAGTCACCGCACTCACCGTTAGCAGGTTGAGCAGGTCTGTGTTGGCATCGACACTAGGCGGCATGTTCTGGATGAGCGCCAACTCTTGAAGGATGGTGTAGAGTTGCTGGGTCTTTGCCAGGTTGACCCGAGTCTTCTCTTTGTCGACCCAGTCTGGCAGCGCCACATGCACAGCTATTAGGTCTTTTAGGTGCACACCTAGGATGGGGAATCGGAAGCCAGAGCACTCGGAGAAGCGCTTACGGTATTGGCTGTAGTTCCCACATGATGTCACCAGTTCAATGAGGTTGTTAAAAACCTGTAATGCAGGGGAATGAAAGGGGCAGACAATTTAAAAGGATGAGATGAAAGTTGGCAAAAAGAATCATCAAAAACATTCTGATCCACATGGAATTACATAACTGACAAGACACTGTAACTCTCCCAACTGTTGCAGATAACTTTCCAGTCATATGGCTCAAATTCATAGCTTTAAAAAGCCGCTGTGTAGGAGTAATGGGCTCAGATAAGGAGCTTGGCAGCTCCAACAGTGGAGATGCAGATAACTGAACCAAGATTCAATAGGACTTGTCAGCTAAGTGCATTCAACATGCAGTGAACATCGAATTTGTCTGGTTACATTTGGCTGTGGATGGTTGAGAGCATGGGTACCAGCTACTGCACCTTGTTGGTTTCCGCACTGATGTGGGTCTGCGTGTCTTTGAGACGAGAGATGGAGCTGTTGCTGAGGCCGCCCACCACTGCCATCAGTGTGTTGAAGTTCTGCAACTGCAGCAACTTCTGTCGACAGAGAAGGAGAAAATAATAGTAGTGAGGGGCAGTGTTCAGCAGCCCACATGCACACCCACACATGAATCTACTGAGTGTTCTAACCTGTCTGTGTCAAAGTTAGGCTAACACTTTGTGAATGGCACTCTGCAGGGCTTCACGTTGCCCTTCAGCTTGCTTGGCATCTCACTGAAAATCAATGGGGTCACAGCTGTGTGGGAGGACTGCCAAAGGGGATCATTTGATTCAGCTCAAACACCCTTTGGAATCAATTGGCAAAGCACTGTTGAAGGTAGCACAGCATTTGCAGAGTATGCTTCAGCTGCACTGCACATGCATGTAACTCAGCAAGGACTGGGAAAGGCTGTATTGCCAACATGCCAGTTCTTTCCACCAGGGTAGAATAAATGCTGTGTGCAGTGCATGACAGGGCTAGGAGATGGAGTTCATCCTCTTGTCAAATATCACACAGTCAACTGATGATGCTGTGTGTTCATCAAAGCCAGAAGGCACAGACACATACAGAGCGAACATACTGTGAAATGAATTGAAACTGAGACACTTTTGTATTTTAAAATAGTCCTTGTAGTCAAGAAAAAAAACTAATGAATACAAGTTGTGTTATGCTCTCTCAATGGGAAGGCGAAACAACCAGTGCACCCTGAGGGAAGCTTTGGGAAATGTCAAGTACTGTATGTCAAGGCTACCTTCTGTGCTTCCTTTGAATACATTTGAAATCAGCATGAAGATTTTTTTTCCCCCTGCATGTGCTCACACTGGGCTGTATTCTTGAATAGCAAAGTTTGAGGCATTTCAAAGTGGCAAGGAATTAAAAGAAGGAATTTGCAAGTGGAATGGTTCTCCCCCACCCCCATTCTGGCGGAATGACATGGTCCAAAAAAGACTTCAGAGTGCAAACCACTGATTAAAATTATGTAGATTCATTCATCTTTCAAGCAACTGCTCGTAAAATGAACTGAAGGCATCTTAGATTTAGTGGGAGAGAAAGTATTAATACAATAGACAGTTTATAATGCTTATTGTGTCATGCTAACAAAAACATTTAACCTTTTATGACTGAATGAAGAAAGAAAGATGCAAAAGTTGGTCTATGCTGCTGACAGTTTTGTTCAGGAGGGAGGAAGCAAATGAGACTATTCTTAGGCCTTCTGCTGATCAGTGATAGTTGTTCATCCCACGCATCAAGGCAGGTCAGAAGGAGTGTACAGTATGTCTTTACCTCTATCAGTCATAGCTTCACAAAATATTGAAAAAAAAAAAAAGTCCAAGTGTTCAGTATCAAGAGTATGAAACAGCTCTGCTGTACTCTCCTGACGAGTCATGCTGAGGTGCTGGGGCACTGGTGTATTCTGACAGAGGGAGGTGACAAAACCTGCTGAGACCCTCCTAAATAAGTTACAACCGACTGAAGCTTGCAGATGAAGAGAAGGATAAATTGAAAATGTGAACCAACTAGGACATGTCATAATGATGAGAAAAAACCCAGAGTAGGCTTGCAATTACAGTAGCAATGAGGATGCATTCACTAGGCACTGCAGGAGGATCAAACGTCTTCTATACTTTGTTCACTAGGCACTGCAGGAGGATCAAACATCTTCTACACTTTGGTTGACTGAAGCTCCCTTACTGTGTTGAGTGAATGAACTGTCACTTACAGGGAAAACCCAGCCCATCTGGCAGACCAATGCAAGGAATAAGATGAAATGATATCAATTGCTCTGAATCCCAGGACACCAGTTACAGGGAGGTTTTTGGTCAAGGACCTATGTAAGGTAGTAAGCAGGCAGCTTTGTTCGGGGATTGCCAGGGACAGACCACATTAAATTAAGATTAGGATTAGCAGCTGTGGAAAGCAACTAAGTGCATTTAATTAAGTACACTTTTGAGGTATCTGTACTTTACTTGAGTGTGGTCATTTTGTGCTACTTCAACATTGTAGAGGCAAATACTGTGCTTTTTTTTTTCACAACATTTAACTTAAGTTACTTTTCAGGACAAAAAAAATACAGTATAATCATAAGACTATGTCTGGTGGAAAGTTCACTTGTTTCCCAGCAGTAAATCTAATTCTAATCTCATTAGCTAGTTAAAACCTGCACCCCCACCAGCTGCAACATTACGATGAACACAGTAAATGCACCAAATATTTTACAAATACATTAATGTTCCATTCTGTATAATGAGTACTTTATGTTTTGATGCCAATACTTTTACTTAACACTTTTGCACTATTTCTAACCTTACTAGCAAGGGAGGAGGACTCCGGTTAAATTATTGACAAGGCTTCTGTGTGATGACATTTTTTAAACTCAAATCATCTTCATTTTTAAAAATATGTGGTTTTCTAGAATAAATGGACCATCTTGCCTAATATGCACCACAGTTTTCTTCCCACCTTTTATTACTGCCTGTAGCAGAGATGTCACATTAAACTGCGTCATGACACCTGGTGAAGCTCCCCAGTGATTACTCAGTTGTAAGATGAATCATTGAATTCTTTCAGCAGGTTGTGTACAGTATATATATTGAAGTAATGAGACACTGTTTTAGATTATAATCCGTACAGCAAAAAGCTAATTCATTTTTAAGGAATTACTATGTTTATTGACCAATTGTGCTGATCAAATTTAGGTGATTTTCATTTTTTGGGGAAAAAAAAAGCCTCATTACCTAATTTTAAAAAGGTTGTTTTATTAAGAGAGCTCATAGTGAGCACCTTAGCATGCTAGTACCTCCAAAGCCTTTTTAAAACAAACTGACATTTACTAAAAATGTGTACCACCTTTTGGGAAAATAATGCATCTGTGCGCTTGCAAGTCATCAACACTACCTTTTTCCCTTCTCCCCACTTTTAATCTTTAATTCAGCTTTTGCAAGTTTCTCCCTGGCGCTCTTCTCCTATCTGTCTGGTTCCTCATGCACCCTGAACCTCTAACAACTCTTTAATTCTGCTCCATCTTAAAACCTTCACAGTAAACAGTCTCAGTGGGTCCAGCAGACAAACCTGTGCCACTCTGATGAAGTGGGCGATGACAGCAGCTCTCTGTGGGGCTGTGGGCTTGCTGAGCACCATCAGCTGAATCCACTGGGAAACACTGCTGAAGAGCGTAATGAACAGCTCCCAGATGGGGTGATCCACTGTGCAGCCATGCATCACAAAGCTGTGGTAGTCCTGAAACTGAAAGGCAAAGTGGAGTGGTGACTTGATTTTTCTTTGCCCCCTTTCATAAATCCTGATTATATCCTCAAAAATGTTGCTGTTCATTTTCAACATGCCAGTCGTATTAATAGAAAAGGTGATGTCTGTTTGCAGAAATGTCACAGTTAAACAAGCACTATCATAAACAAATAATAGTATTAAAGGGGCACTCTACTAGTTTTGGCTGTAGCTTCATATTTATTATACAGCCATGAGTGGTATAAAGATTATTACCTAACACTTGAAATAAAAGCCAAATTTAAAAGAGCATATTTTTTCCAAAATACTGAACCATTCTTTTACTGCGGTAATGTGGATAAAGCAGACAACTAGCTGATTAAGCCTAACTTTAATATGAGAAATCCTGAGGGGGGATTCTGTTTTTACGTTGTCTAAATGCAGAAATCTGCCATTACTGCACATCTGGACCAGTAGGCTAGATTCATGTTTCTATTTATTATGGCTTCTTTTGTTTTTTTATGGAGTAAGAATATCTTTTAGAAAAGAAAGAAATCACAACCACTGTTCCCCATCTTGCAACAAAAACCAGTTGAATAAATTACCTAAAAGAATTTACAAATTAAATAAGCTATAAAACCCCGGCATCATCTTTGCCTCCTAAAAATAACACCCAAAGGACAAAATGTTTCCACACTACAAATATAATTACTGCCACTAAAGGTCCATTTTAACCTCTATTGCTTAGCAACTACTGTTTCATGTGCCTTCAGCATGTAAACTGTGAATTACTTCATCACACTTGATACACTGCTTCAGCAGCTTCATCACAGGCTGCCATCAAACTGACCAGGATCTTGCAGAAGGATTTGTACTCCAGGTAGGTCAGGTGTTCTGCCAATTCACAAGAGTCGAGGTGGTCAAACAGCAGGGACATCTTCCTCTTTTTGGACACTGATGGGACACGCTGAGTCACCTGCCGCTTCCATTTATATGATGGCCTACAGAGCCCATTAAAAACAGACAAATCTTTTATGGAAAGTTTTGTCCTCTTTGATCCTTTGGACCAAAACCATAACCGATTACGAGTATAAGCTTCACAGCCACTCAGGTTATTTGGATTTGTACTCGTGTTGAATGGAATATTCTTTAAATGCAGAATTATGCAATGGCATTCCTTCATTTGAAAATGATCGACTGCTGTAAGTCTCCATATGGAGCACTAAAGGGAAGTTGAAGTCACACAGAAATAGCCTATTTGGCATAAGAAGAAGTCAGTGACCTCACATAGCACAACTCAGCAGAATCTGAGAACTGGCAATAAAAGAGCAGAATGACAACTTGTAAACACCCACAGACAGAAACATTCATTCAGAGTGTCAACAACCAACACAGCGTTCTGCAGCTGATTCACTCACACACTGTCAAGGTCAATGAGCTGGCTCTGACGCTCGTTGCCCTTGTTGGTCAAAAGGTCTTTATAGTCTTTGATCTGGTCTGCCAGCTCTGGGTTCAGAGTGAACTCGGCTGGAAACTCAGAGATCCAGTACCTAGAGGGTAGAACAAAGGGTTTCAGAAAGAGAGATGATGAAAACAGAGGAAGATAGACTTGTTTATATCTACACAATAATGTGACTGTTGCATTGCTTTAAAATCATTCTATAGCATGCTGTTGGAGTGATTTTTTTTCTACATATATGAAGTTTCTCTAGCACATGTTGCAGTCAATATTAACAGGAGGATTTAATATATATACATAAAAGTCAGACAAACAGTAACTTTTATTACTTGATGAGGTGGCATATTCTTGTTCGGTGCTCAGCAGTGCAGCTCTCCTCTTGGGATCTGATCCGCAAGTTAAGCCCTGTAAATTTTCTACAAACTTTTAACCATTTCTCCCCTTTTCTCTCACTCAAATTTAACAAACAAGTTTTTTAAAACATTCTTTGCTGAGGTCTTTTCCAAATCCTAAAGCTCTACAATAGGTTCTGGCATAAAGGATACTTGAGCACTAGCTTCTTAGCCAGGTCGGTTGAAGGGATGTACCAAGGGTGCATCATGAGGAACATCCGGACCAAGGGAGTATCCTTCAAAGTCCCCTTGTCATCTGAAACAGGATAAAAGTGTGTCACTCACTATAATGTACAGTGGAAGCATCACCTGGTGTCAATTAACATGGAAACATTTTGATAGCCAGCATCTGTCTAATCACCAACACACACAACACCATGTACAGTATTTCTACACAAGTCACTTCTTAAAGTCCAAAATAATTAACATAAAATACATTAATATAATCTAAAATGCAATATACAGATTCATTTAATTTGTTCTTTACTAACTTACTTTAAAATAACAGTAAAGGATCAAAGAAATAATGACTCAAGTGGCCAACCGAAGGTTTGGATGCACGCCTCCACCAGCTCGTCCACTGTGGCCGACTGCTCCGATGATGTGGACTCCATTGTTCCTTTCCTCTCTGGCTCCCCCCGCCCCGTTTCCCAGTGTCTGGGTTGACTCTCGTGGCTGTTGCTGAACACAAATAAAGTCAAATCAAAGTATAATTATGAACCAAAGAGAAAGAAAATGAGATTCATAATGTCTATTACCTTGTGCCTGGAATAGTTGTGCAGTCACTTATATCGCATGCTGCCCCTCGCTGTGAATGAGAGAGAACTAGTCAGTGGCTGTTTACATTTAGGGTTGGTACTGTATGATGGTGTATTCTGTTGATGTTAATTGGGATATCTGTCTGTCAATTTCACCCCCTGCTGGTGTGATGTTTATTCGATCCAATAAACTCAAGACTGTTTAAACCTTGCACTGGAACTCGTTGTGCTTGCAGAAGCACAACTTAATTGGTGCAGCTTTCAGGGGAAGTTTAAATGGCTTATTATGGTCTCAAATACTGAGGGTTTGTATTCATATCATTCTCAGTGAAATGTACGTCTGGAGATTGTTTGAAACATTTAGAAGCTGGTGCCAATATGATAACGGAGTAGTGAGTGCAAAAACAGCACAGTGTACTTTTAGTTTACAAATTAAGATTTTACATCTAAAATGTATTAGTACTTTATAAAATATGCTGTCTTTGCTTTAAATTACCTAATAATATACACCGATCAGCCACAACATTATGACCACCTAATACTGTGTACACAGCAGTTGACTGGCACTTGTGTCACTACAGCTCACTGTGAAATCATTTGCCTCCATAGTTAGACTGTCAGGAAGAGCACAAAGCTGTCTACCATTTAGTGATAAAAAAATATGTCAGACTGCAAACTGTGGTTGTGAGGACAAGTTAGAGACTTTTTCTTTGATAAATTCAGCAGCCTCCCCACTCTTGGTGTGATATCACCACTATAGCTGCTGAATGTTTCTCTTCACGGAGACCAGTATGCAATATTTCTCATTGTCACATCTTTTTCAACCAGCTACCAGTTTAACTTACATTTACACATTCATCCCCGCCTTTATGGTGTGAACTTTGGAGCACTGAGGCATGCAGAGTTAACATGTAGCACTGAAACAAACTAAGTTTCAAATTGAGATCATTTTGATGACAGAATTTGACAGAAAGTGAACAGTGTAGCCTGCTTTATTCTCATTGTGGTCAAAGCCACAAGCACAATGAGCAGGAAACCACATTTTATCTGTTCTTGACATCCACCAGTGCTAAACAGTGTAATGCAAGGAGGTATTTACAGCATATCATTAAATATTTGGACATGGAGCACAATGTGATATTTTGTTCTATTAGATTATTTTGATAGCATTAACATCAGAAAAAAAAATTGTACAGTATACTGGTATTTTTCTTGGCGATCGAGTAAGACCTAACATTGTAACCATGGCAACCACAGCTAAATGTCCATATAGTACACATATTTCTAAATACAATGCGTGTGCACACAAGACATGTCTATACATTTGGTTTATAAGATTTTTTTCCCTAATCCTAAATGTGTGTATGCCTGAAGAGGTAAAGTGCACTAACCCTACTGTCTACATAGGTTTCAGCTCAACGTGGTGGTAACATAGCAGAATAAAGAAGTCACTGGATATTTTGGTTCATTGCTAATAAGAGTGGTGGCAATGCTGAGGCTGTGCTTGAGTAGCAAATTAAGGCCACAAACAACACACAGCACTGCTGCATTTATTGATGGCTCTCCAGTGTTGTGGGTCCACGGTAGTGGGAGAAGGGTGTGACGAGTATGTGTATGTATCTATTGTGCCTGACACAATGAAGCCCTCCACTGTGCTGTCTCTGCTGCAAAGCGGTAGGCGGACACACTCAATTACAGGCTTCACAAGCTGTCTCAGCCACACACACATGCACACATTTCTCAGGAGATGGAGGGGAAAGAAAACATGGAGAAACAGAGGAAAGTATAACCCTAAAACTTCAATCATCATATGTCGTAAATGTCATACAGTGAGAGTGAGCGCAAGCCATGATGATGGTGACAAGAGAAGAGTGACATAATAAACTCAGATTTTTGCCTTCATCATCAGATCGCGATGAGATAAAGGGTAAAGAAATGGCAGACTGCTGGACGCTATCAAAATGATATACTGTTGCTATAAATAGACATGAAAGCTCCTGAGAGGGGTGCTAAGGTCACCACAGGAAGTAAAGTCAGTGCTATAGAGCAGTTCTGTAAGTATAAAACCTCAACAAAAAAAAAACAAAAAAAAAAAAACCAAGACCTCTGACTAGCTCAGCATTTCTAATGCAATGTCTTGGTATGCATTCTCTCAGAACAGATAGCACTGCTCACATCTCACATAATATAATAGGCTGGAAAATGGCCTTGGGGTCATGATTAATGATGAGAGTTATCTAGATCTAAGCTGAAATGGTTTTCTCTGTCACAAAATGAGCATCAGTTTCAGTTCATCACTTCTATTGTTCAGTTCAGAACAGTCTGTCTTCAAGATCCAAATGAGAATATAGAACCCACTTTACCCTTTACTCTGCAGATGCAAGGACCTACTGTATGTGTTCTTCAGAGGGTACAACACTGAGGGAGAAAAGGCAGGGGTGTTATTGTTCTACCACCTGAGGCTGATACTGCTTTTCACTGAATCCAGTCGGGCACTGCAGCACAGGCTGCGCTCGCTCGTTTTCATGATAATACCATCTTCAACAAAAAAAAAACACACCATCCATCCGAATACACCATCCATCATCCCGCCGACAGGAGCTCTTTGTCGCAGCCCCCAGAACAATTCCCTGTGCTTTCAAAAGAATGCAGTCACTGATTTATTCTTAACAATCTCCTTCCATCTTTTAAGTATTTTCACCACAGTCTGATTTCTGATAGGTAGCACACACCATGAGAGGTTTGGTGTCATCTTTGGTTGCCTGGTGACGACATGCCAGAGCCATCGATGAGGCAGATTAGGGGTTGAGATCAGGCACAGTGGTGATAAAGGGAAGTTGATGGGTGTCTGGTCACTCCTAGCTTTGCAGAATCTGCAGTGTGCTGCGGGTTAAGTGAGCCATGAAAATGTCACGGATCCACAGCCAGACAGCCCTTCTCTTTTCCACTAATATAACCACAACACAACCACTCTGTAATGTACCGCTAAATACTGCTAAACAGGTTGAGAACCACTGAAAGTCAGTATGCTCCTTGTGTGACTTGAATTAGACTTGTTTATGTATAAATATACACATATTTGCTTCCTGTCACAGAAGAAGTTTATTTTTCTGTCTGTCCGCTCCATGCTGTAGCTCCATTTAACCATGGATTTCACATCATTTTACTGTTGAAACAACTGTGCTAAGAGTGAGTTTTCTATCCTTTCATCATCTGCCACAGCTAGCAACTCTGAAAACTTTAGATTTCCAAAACCAAAATCCATCCTGGTGGAATAAATTGTAAAATGTAGAGTCTGACAGAGGCATTCAATTTAGTCTAAAATGACCATGATGTTAAAGCAACCCCAAGTGTAAGTCAGTAATCCTGAGATTTCTCCATTGTTTCTGTCCTTGTGAGGCCATGTGGGGAGGATTAAAAAAACAGTAAAAACACAAACACCGCTGCTTCACACACACCACCGTTATCTGTTGCCCAACACTCCCTAGTTTGTTTCAGGAAGTTGTAGCAAGGGTGCTGAATGATGGGACAGATATAGTTCTCTAGGGGGGCCTACAGAGAGGCTGCTGGCAGGCTCTATTTACAGAATGCAGGGTACTGAGAGCAGGAAGGGAAACATTTCCTTTTCCCTGGACATGCAGAATGCCACATTGGTGGGGGGGCACCGGCTGCAAACTGAGATTAGCAGCTACAGTGGCTCCTTAGGGAGGGATGAGTGGAGGCAGGGGGAGGAGAGGAGGAATGGGAAAATGGGAGATAAAGAGAGAGACTGCAGGCAGAAAGCGAGTGTACTCGACCTCGCTTCAGCTTAGTCAAACATGGAAGAAGATTCTTGGCTGAAAAGAGAGGGAGATCACATAAGCAGGACTAGTGATGATGGAAAACACAACAAGAAAAAAGGCAACTAGGATCTGTCTCAAAACAAATGGAACCAGTCCTACTAATACTGTAGGAGACAGGCAGCACTTTTTCATAATCTTGAAGTAAGCAAGCAGTAAATGCAAGTGGGGTGAGAAAAACATGTAGGAATCACAACGACATGCTGAGACATAGCAGCTGCCAGAATGTAATGTTTTCTTACAAACTCCAAAATGAAAAAAGTCACACATCCTGTTCCTTATCTGGCAACTCTCACATCTAAACTTTCTGACTTCAAATGGAAAATGTATGAAACAGAAACACAACCATGTATCTTTGTCGCACACTGTTTAGACTGCTTTGTTTTGAGGCTTCCTGCTTAAACTTCTGTCCTTCTCTCAGATGTGAAAGTTTGCTTCATAACAAATACCGGAAGGGAGTGTTGGTATGTGTGTGTGAAATGTGCCGCGTGTGGGTGTGTGTCCACAGTTTTTTTTTTGGTAATAAACTGTTCTTGTATGTAGTGTCATTGAGTTTTCAATGAATACTCATTTCGAGGAGGTTTTTCACACATTTTACTTTCTAAATATTCGAGTCTTTCATCACCTTCTTGGTTATTTTCCTTTCACACACTTCTTGCTCTGTGATCAGTGAATGATGAAGCCACATAGCATATTGTGTAAAACAGCAAATGTGCTCATCTTTTGCAGTAGTGCATATGGGTGGGTCTCTTATAACATCCAGTCAGTTTCTGCCAACTGTCTATTAGTTTATGAACATGCCTCGGTCAGGGTTCATTTTCTGCTGTTCTGCAATGCTGAAGTCAGGAATCTTGCTTCCTGTTGTTAAGAGTGTTTCATCTAGGGTGGGCAAATTCAATGTATTAATCTGAAATATGAGTCTTTGCCCCAAAAAAAGTATTATCAGACATGAGACATCCATCCATCCATCCATCCATTTTCTATACTGCTTAGTCCCAAACGGGGTCACGGGGACATGAGACATTTTATTTTAAATTTATATTTAACTTGTTTGTAGCTAGATGTAACAGCAGTAAACTTTCTTGAGGTAAAAAATAAGGGGAAACCACTGGCTAACTTTGTCCAAAGGTGACAAAATCATTCAGTGAGCACCTCCGATGCTTCCAGTTAACGTGTTATATTTTGTGTGGTTAGTCAGTATAAAAACAAAGTGGTAAAAACACCAATTCTTGGCTTGAGACTAGTATCTTCCTTGACTTTTTAAATTATATTTTAAAAAGGAATTGCATGTCTGGTGCCTGTTTCCAGTTTTTATGCTAAGCTAAGCCAACCGGCTGCTGCTGCTTTACATTTGCCATATAGACATACGACTTATATCCATATTTTCATTTCTGGATAATTAGAATGATACAGTTGAAATTACAGCTGGTTATCAAATTTTGACAAAACAAATCAAAAGAAAACATAATGAAAATTAAAGATCAAAATTACATTTTGTGTTTAGTGCTAATTAAGAATTTCCCTAAGTAAACGTAAGCCATTTCAGGTGCCTGGAGACACCACAAGACTCTCATTGACAAACCCTCTATGTAGCCTCTGGTTAGGCCTACACACCAAGAGATGCTGAGTCCTTTTCACAAATTCTGGTTTATGGTCTGTGGTTTGTAGATCAGGACATGTACTCTAGGCCAACAACTGGAGCATAATGTGTTCTTTGTAGCGTTTATGTGCTTCATTTCCTCCTGCCTGTCAGAGTTGTGCTCACTGAGCTATACGGTGGATCAGCACCACAATCATTTTGAACTACATGCATGTCATGCATGAATGCTGGGAGTTTCAATTTCACCCAACCAGTTTCTTTATTACCCCGCATGATTTTTAACTGTTGGCTTGTTCCTGTTGATGTATGTGTATGTACAAAGCCCACAATTTCCTGTCATCATAATACAGCATTCATTGCGCACTTTCACATAAAAGGTGTGAGAGAGTACAGACTGCATGCAGAATGAATATGAAAGCTAAGGTAAAAAAGAGAAAAGAATGCATTTCTCTGATTGCAGGTGCAGGATACCACAGTTGCACTCAGTTATTTTTCAATTCTTTTTTTGGACATGAGCCACACCTAACATCTGTAGTGCAGTGATGCCAATCAACTGAAACCTTAAATAATCACGAGCACAGAGTCACCATCACTGCTAAATTACTACCTTTAGCAGTCAGCTAAGAAACAGCACCAGTGAGTTTTGATCCACCCTTCCACGAAGCTCATCGACTATGGTGTTTTGTCCTGATTGATTTAGTTCCAGCCACAGCTTGATTTATAGCTCTTTAAACCCAAGACTTTTCCTCCCCAGCAACTGAACCCTCCTGTCTCTCTGCTTCTGCATCTCATTTCTGCTTTTAAGGGTGAGGAGGGCAGAGTGCATTGGCAGATTGATATTTTAGAAGGTCTGCCCTTTCATGAGAGTTGAAGAGGCGACAGTAGAACACAGGGGAACAGGATCAGCTAGTGGGAGTCAAATCAAATCTGATTCAAGTTCTGCCAGTGCTTTGTCACTTTAAATTCTCTTTCCTGGTGTTTAAATCTGTTAAAAATACAGGGGTTCAGGGGGAAACCTGCAAATTCAGGTGGCTTAGGTGCAGTTATTTGAACTGAATTGCTGTCACTTGCCCATGAGCCAAACAAGTTAAGTACTCTGTAATATAAATGAATGACTCCAACAATGGTCTGTGTGAATGTGACCCAGCAGGTGTGAAAGGATGATATAGGTAATTAAAAGTGTAGTACCGAGTCCATGGAGGACCAGACGAGATTAGCTAATAAAAAGTGAGATAGGGAAAGCAGAGGACAGAAGCAAAGAGTGCACTGAACCATAGATTCCAGTGATTGTTAATATCCAGCACGTGTCTGAGCTGCTGCTCCTGCCTGCTCTGTGTAATTTTTTTTTTGTTTGCCTCTTGTGTAAATCAGTCTTTGTTTACCTCTCCCTAGCTCTGTCCTTCTGTTCTGCCTTGTAGTTTATTCCTACCTCTCACCCTCCTCCTCCTGGTTGCTGATGTTCCTTTAGCATTAAGCAGCAGCCTTTCACAACAGATCCAATTATGGCTGGTTTTCCTGATAAGCACAACACTGCTGCAGGTTGAGGTGGAGGAAGTGATGTTAAAAATCAAGGGTGGCCACTCTAGAGGCCTGAAGTAATTGCACTGCAGCAGCAGAGGAGATACAGGAGGACCACAGATGCAGAGGCTGTTTCCCCTTCTACTTGATTCCACCATTCTGTAGGTGCTTTGCGTCCTTTGCTTTCTTTTTAAAGTGCTGTATTTTTCAAGTCAAGCACCACTTCACTTACTGGGTTTGTGAGATCACAAAGGCCATGGGCTGCTTTGAGGTACCTGATGATCAAACAAGCCAGCCTCTGGTAAAAATGGACTTTGGATACTATTCGCCTGCCTGACAAACTCAAAGCCTTTAATTGTTTTGTTATATGTTCTTTGGTGACAGATTTGTCTGAGTGAGCACTGTACATATGAGGGCGGATGTTGATGGCTACCTTATTTGCATTCCCATGATGAATTGCTGATTGGGACTAAGTGCGCACAAAGCAAGCTTGTCCAGCAGTCAAAACAGGAACAGTTAATCACCAACATGCAGCTTTGACCAAATCAACCACACTGAACACACAAATGTGACTTTTCCACCTCCTGCTCAGCTACAGCTGCTAAGACTTTCAAATGTGCAGACAGGCAGCCAGTCACAGCTTACAAGTCAAATCCCACTGCTCTGAAACCAAAGCATGGCTGGATGAGGCAGGGTCAGTGAAGAAGCTGCAGCGCAAGTAATCAGCGGCCCTGACACTCAAAGATGCCTTCTCCTAATCCACGCAGCTTTGAGGTCTGTGGGAGAAATTCACCTTGAATCACCACAGTCAGACAGCTGCAGCCTGCATAAGGGAACACATGATGAGGGGGGTGATTGAATGAAAATAGAATGAGCAAGGTAAGTATGGTTTCTCACTTGGTTAATTCAGCTACCAATGCAGAATCACAATAGACTAGTAGACAGTGCCTGGAAAGTCAGTGTGAGCGTGACATGATGAATACTCCAGCAAGGTGTTATCCATGACAGGTCAGGGTTGAAACCATGGGTTCAAAATAAGCTTCTGCATCTTCTATCCTCCAAGATGGGTCAAGCCATAATTTTGCACACCAACAGACCTTTGTTAACCATCATTCTCACACTAGTAAACACAGGATAGAGATCCTGCCGCTCCCTCAATCTAATTTTCAGAGCAGGCGTTCCCCTGCTCCATGATGCTCTTCCTTCCTGAAAATGACTGCACAGGCCTGTTCATTCCATCTGTGATGGATTCAGATCTCCATGAGGCAGGTATTTACAGAATGTCATCAGAGCTGCTGCAGCTTTAAGCACATAGATATGATGTCATGGTAATTATACATAGAGTATATGACCCATTAATAAAGCTAATTCTTGTATTCAATCCTCCACACAGTCACCAAGTCACTTGGTTGTTTATGAGTTGAGTAAATAAACTGATAGTGAGCTGGCCAGTGAACTGTAAATGGCACCATCATTAACAGTGCAGAACTAGGAAACATATCTGGCAGCCGTGGGATGCGACCCGCGTTATCTACAAGGTTGAACTGTGATGACTTTTTCCAGCATAAAGTAGAACGACCATCCGTGACTTTCTAATGAGTCAGCGTGACATTCTCATCGCTGTTTTTAATGGTGCAAGCGGACAAGTCCATGCGTGATCTCATGTGGTGTTGCAATACAATAGTACACGGATCAAGTGACCAAATGGTGAAATTTTTACACAGAACATAAAACAGACACATGACGTTTCACTGTGGCACGTTTCATCAAAAAGAGAGAGGCCCATCATGTAAAAATGTGCAAAATAACTCAAAACATGGGAGTTATGACATATTTCTTACCTTTAGAGTTTGAAGGGTCCCATGTTCTAGCTGGAGAGGCTTCAGTGACAGCAGCTGTGGAGTGAGCTCTGAGATGAAAAGCGTAGCATCACCAGCACCACTGAACTCACAGCGCCTTTGGCTAGAAAGTGGAAACGTCTTGCGGCAAGAGGCAGCAGTGATCGAAACAACTCATTAGGAGTTACGCACGGATTGTTTTATAGAGTTAATTCCGGCTCTCCTCTGAGTTGGCTATGCGGGTATTTTTACGGTACATTAACTCCACAACGCGCACAAGTCCTCTCCTGGTGCACTCGAAAGCAAGTTATGGATGTGGTGTGTGTTGGAGTAGAGCAGCGGAGCTCAGTCTTCTGGTCGCAGCTGGTGCGCGTGCCTGCCTTCTGATCCAGCTGTGCAGCTCACAATCACACTGCAGAGCCACAGTCCCGCCTATTGGTAGTAACACAGCAACACCACAGCATGTCCACATGCTCACTGTGTACGAGCGGCGTCCAAACATAACAGTTAGGTGGCTGCTCTGCGACACCAGTGCGTCTTGTCAGTCAAAATCACACTTATAGTTTTGTGCTGCCTTCAAATGCTCCTCATAAAGTTAAAAAAATGCAAACATAATGTGTTCATCATCATTGTTATTATATAGCGTTATTATTATGATTATTAAAAAGGCAGACAGCTGGTACAGTGCCACACTGGGGAATTCATTATTCAATATTTATGAATGACATTTATGACAAGAAGAGAGTCTATAAACGTGCAGTAGCCTATTACTAATTACTTATATGTCAACATATGTCAAATGCTCCAAAATAAATAGCTCGATTTTATAAACTATCATACATCGCCGACTCGGTAGGCTGCACTGACCTGTTGCAATATGATAGGGTGCCTTCCCCTTCGTGTCGTCACATGTTGCATTTAAGTCATGCGGGAGTAAGAGCGAAAAGTCCAAACCTGGCTTCATAAGCGGGAGAAACTAGTTTTGTTTGCTTGTATGTTTGATATTTTATTGAACTTTGGCAGCCTTGCTAATAAATGGAAGGTATAGAGGCATATGAATCATATGATCAGTAAAGAAATATTTACTTTTTGAAAGTTAAAGTGAAGAACATAACAATATTTACCCTCAAATCATATGGAAACCCATAAATGTAAATCATCAAAATATAGGCCTACATTTATCACCTGAAAATGTTGCTTCCAAGTGCTTCCTCTGTTTACTAAAAAAGGTTGTGATAGTTAACCAAAAACCCTTACATTTGTTTGATTTAAAGTGTGACAAGTGGCACAGAGCTGGGACCCTGCATTGGCCTCACTTCATCACTTCTCTGCTTTCACACTAAATTAGATTTGTAAATTGGACAGATTTTGATAGGTGATGCTGATCGGGCAAATGTGCCAGTCAAAGCTGAAAATTCGGACTAAAAATGAATGAACCTCAGAGTCAGATTTAGCCGTGTTTAGTCGTGCCATTCAGTGGCTCAACTTGTGATTGCGGGAAACTCCGACAGCATTTGAAGGCAGCATCTTATAGTCCCGTCTTACCAGGAAGACGAGCAGAAACATACGAGGTAGTAGCTTTTTAAAATGATATTTCATATGTCAGACATTCTTGTGAGGTTGTTCTTTAACTAGAAGATTTATTTTAAACGTGGCGACATACAGCATTTTAATTACAGTAGTCTACTGTGCCTGACATAACATTTGTGAATATGTAATGTAATAATACCGCCTTTACACAATACATAGTATTACGTGTTTTCTGTCAATTTCGTCAGTTTCAAGTTGTAAGGTCACTGAAATAACAATAGGCTACTTTGTACTTTCTACTTGTAACACATGAAGTCTGATAATCTACTGCAGCATATCCAAACAAACTGTAGACCACTATAAATTAAATTCTTAATGGTATAGACATGTTGTACATTTCTTAAGGGTTCTTAATGTATTTTCTTTAGGCTACTTAAGACACTGTTTCATGAGACAGAGGTGACCACACAGAAATCGAACACGTAGGCCTATATGGATTTTTACTGGAAAAACACAGAACTGTGTTTTAATTTTGTAATGTTAGTGCTTTGAGATTTAGTTGCTTCACCACTCAGTTTATTTTGCCCATTCCTTTTTAGCGACACTCGGTCAGTCCATGGGATTCCCCTTCTTGAATTACTATAATACAGGAGCACGTGAAGAAAAGGGGGAATCATTTCATCCCAGACAACAACTGTAACATCTGTGCAGTGGAATGGATAGCCAGGAGGTGGGGGATTTACTGGAGGAGTGCTTGAGAGCAGCAGCTCCACAGTCCAACCTGCCCACAGAGCCAGAGAGGCTGAACTACTGCAGCTGCAGAGGTCAGACACAGGATGGTGGTGTTGGGTCAAGTTTCATATGGGCATGGGGAAAAGTCTGATTTGGGGTGAGGAGCAGAGATTTGGTGGTGCAATTATGTTTGCCTCAGCGCCACATTAGGGACAAAGGTATTGTTTACAAATGGTCAGTGACTCCAACATGTATTGCTAAACATTTTGTTTAGCAAATACCTCTCACTAGTGTAGCTTTGCTTTGAATATGACACGAGATATCATCTGCTGATAATCCTAAAATAACAATTAAGCATTTTAACAACACAAATGGCCTAAAACAGTCTAAAATGATGTCACAAATAGCTGATACACAGATAGCTGTCTATGGCTTTAGGTTAAATTGTTCCCTCTGAAGTTGTTTAACACGTTTTTCAGTTATTTCCTCATTGTCTTTGTACTTGACATTTTAAGGTATTTTATGTCCATTCATTTCTGTACTGCGAAACTTTTGCTGAAATTACTTCCTTTAGACTCGCTGTGTGCAGAACTGGCCTCTCTCCTGCAGGAGGCAATACAGAATTGGCCTCTCTCCTGCAGGAGGCAATGGAGATGAAGTGGCCCTTTGTGCCAGAGAAGTGGCAGTATAAGCAGGCAGTCAATGCTGATGACAAGAACAACCTCAGTGAGCTCATCAGCAAGCACCTATCTCAGCTACTGGTAATAATCACACAGCTAAGTGATAGATGTCATTTCCCTGTGGTATTACTGAAAACAAATTACATACTCTTTGCACATTTGCCTTGTTTCCAGGCTTTGTTAAAGGCTTCCATCATGGCTCAGGAGGCATGCGTGGCACTGGCAGTGGTCTTTTTAGTGGACCGCTTCCTCTACTGGACTGACGAGTCCAGTCGGCTGCTAAAGATCACCAAGCTGCTCCACAGGCGCCACCGTGACGCTCCTGTTGCTCCTCAGCTGGTCATACGACAGGCCAGGGTCTATCTCAACTCTGGTACAGTGCGATGGAGGGGTGGGGTCAAGCAGATAGGTTTTTTTAAATCAACTTTGTTCTTGGAAATCACAGGGATTGACAGTAATATGGGAAATACTGGAAATCATCATGAATACACATTTTTATCACAGAGGTGTTTGGTTTGCACTGGATAAAGCTGATCATCATCATCCTTACAGGCAAACTGCAGAAGGCAGAATACATCCTGAGCAGTCTCATTAACAATAATGGGGCAACAGGTAGGTTCCCTGCTACTGTATGTAATTTTAGCCGTCTTTAATGATGAACTATACTGTATACTACAAGCTAAAATAAAGAGCAAACGTTCATTTTTATTATACAGGTTGTTGGGTGTACCATTCCGAAAGTGATAAGGCTCTGGTACAAGCTGTTAGTGTTCAAGTGCGTGGAATGATTTTGCAAAAGCTGGGTAAGCTCATTTTTACTAAGTGAAAGAATATTGATAGCAATTTTGGCACTTTTTTTTTACCAGAACCAGAACAGAAGCCTGGAAACCAAAAATATGAGATGCTTAGCAGGACTTCTCTTCTTACTGTCAGGCTGCCTGGCCTCGAAGCCTCAACCATGCTGTAAGTAAAATGCTAGAGACAAGACAGGTGTGTGCAGGAAATAATTTTTGCTTTAATTGTTTTTATTGCTGACTTAACACAGTCATCTGGCTTATTTTGTGGTTTAATTTCACATATCTTATTACACAGCAAGTCCTCCTCTTATGAGCGGAGCCTTCACTGTGGTGAGTGATTATTGGTTCAAAGTGTGCTGCACGAGTGCAATGAAAGAAGACCTGAGCCTAACAAGTAAACTCACTCACATTCTTCCTCCAGACCACACAGAATGAAAAGCTGCTTACCACGGCGCAGTACCTGTATGATGCTTTGGGAGAACGGATCCGCATCTTTGAGCAGGGCACTTATGAGAATAAGACCTTCATCCGTGACGTTCTTTTGCTCTACAGAGAGGTGACCAAAGCAATGACAGGAACATCCAAATTACTTTAATGCACTGTCACCTCTGATATCAGATGAAGAGTGTAATTTTATTGCAGTAGAAAAACAGAGAGCAGCATCAACTATTCCAGTAGGAATGTAGTCCAAGTTTAAATCTAATTTCTACTATTTGGAAGCTTAAGGGTATGTGAAGTTGTTTAACACGTTTTTCAGTTATTTCCTCATTGTCTTTGTACTTGACATTTTAAGGTATTTTATGTCCATTCATTTCTGTACTGCGAAACTTTTGCTGAAATTACTTCCTTTAGACTCGCTGTGTGCAGAACTGGCCTCTCTCCTGCAGGAGGCAATAGAGATGAAGTGGCCCTTTGTGCCAGAGAAGTGGCAGTATAAGCAGGCAGTCAATGCTGATGACAAGAACAACCTCAGTGAGCTCATCAGCAAGCACCTATCTCAGCTACTGGTAATAATCACACAGCTAAGTGATAGATGTCATTTCCCTGTGGTATTACTGAAAACAAATTACATACTCTTTGCACATTTGCCTTGTTTCCAGGCTTTGTTAAAGGCTTCCATCATGGCTCAGGAGGCATGCGTGGCACTGGCAGTGGTCTTTTTAGTGGACCGCTTCCTCTACTGGACTGACGAGTCCAGTCGGCTGCTAAAGATCACCAAGCTGCTCCACAGGCGCCACCGTGACGCTCCTGTTGCTCCTCAGCTGGTCATACGACAGGCCAGGGTCTATCTCAACTCTGGTACAGTGCGATGGAGGGGTGGGGTCAAGCAGATAGGTTTTTTTAAATCAACTTTGTTCTTGGAAATCACAGGGATTGACAGTAATATGGGAAATACTGGAAATCATCATGAATACACATTTTTATCACAGAGGTGTTTGGTTTGCACTGGATAAAGCTGATCATCATCATCCTTACAGGCAAACTGCAGAAGGCAGAATACATCCTGAGCAGTCTCATTAACAATAATGGGGCAACAGGTAGGTTCCCTGCTACTGTATGTAATTTTAGCCGTCTTTAATGATGAACTATACTGTATACTACAAGCTAAAATAAAGAGCAAACGTTCATTTTTATTATACAGGTTGTTGGGTGTACCATTCCGAAAGTGATAAGGCTCTGGTACAAGCTGTTAGTGTTCAAGTGCGTGGAATGATTTTGCAAAAGCTGGGTAAGCTCATTTTTATTAAGTGAAAGAATATTGATAGCTATTTTGGCACTTTTTTTTTTTACAGCTGTTCTGCTCTGTTTCAGGTCTGTGTCTCGAAGCTGCAGAGTTAATCTGGGCTTCCCTAGTTGGCTACTACTCACTTCCGCAACCCGATAAAAAGGTAAGTTAGACACAGCCAGAGTATTGTAGTCACCGGTGTGATCAAGTGTACAAACTGTTTTAAACCTTTGCTCTGCATGTCTGTTTATTTTAAAGGGCATTGGAACTTCACTTGGCATACTAGCTAACATACTGGTGTCAATGAATGATGAGGACTTTCATGCTTTTAGAACAAATCCAGATATTGAATTGGTAAGGCCAACTGATATAATGTTGCTTTATATATTTTTGGTTTTGTATAAATTCTTGTCAATGTCTGTCTGGGTTTTTGAAGAAGTCTCTACTTGGGGACGGGAGTCATCGTCTTCTCTCAGCAGCTCAGGCTGCAAAGATGGCAGTGGTGTACAGCCAGTACACTTCACTCTATGTGATGACCAATGTGGTGAGTTATTCTATTGATTGGTCTCTGGAATGACTCACTGTTGACTTTACTTGACAAATGAAGTCACAACAGAAACAAGACGTTAGCTAATGAGAGAGCAGATCCAAAAGAAATATCTACTGACAGATTCTGCTTTTTCCCTAGGCAACTCAAGGGACCTGCTTGTTATCGTACAGTTTCTCAGTGGAGTGCCCTGACTCTCAGAGACAGTCTTTTCTCCTGCAGGCTAGAGAGGCATTTGAAATTGGCCTGCTCACTAAAGCAGAGCATGAGCTGGTTACCAGTAAGCAGGAGCTTCACACACTCCTCAAGGCTGCCTATTCCCTCACTGTCACTCACAGATGGCTCGGCACTCCTCCAGAAGTTGTGGCACAGGCGACACAAGCTTGCCAAAAAGCTTTAGCTATTTTCTATGATTACTGCCATGCAGATACTCAAGACAGAGATAACCTCTGTGCTGAGATCATGCATCTTGTTGCCCAAGTCAAGCTTCTGTTGCGAGTTGAGCCTTTCCTTAATTTAGACAAAGGGTCTTTTATTCCTGACACTTACAGAAACATCAAACACACATCAGTAAATTTTACTCTGGAAAGTTTCTCTAAGGTGATGCAGAGATTCCAGAAGTATCATGCATCACTGTGCGAGACCCCCAGCTCAAACTGTAAAGGGACTAAAGATGAGCTAGATGGAAGAGGGCTGTGTATAACTGCGCTGGGGACAACCATTGGTACACTTAACACAGAATGCAGCACTGAGGCCCGCAAAGTGCCAAAAGACACACCCAAAGGGGGGGAGACACAACAGAGAGGTTCAAATTCATCTCTTCTGCATTCACCTCAAAAGCCTGACATGTGTACCACTCTAGGAAGCACAGATGAGCTTGGCTCCTCATGGCAGAGCCTCTCCTTGAGTAGTTCAGGCTCTCCTCAGCCCGGCAGCAGTGGCTACACCAGAGGTAGTGCCACTGAACATGAAGCAAGTGTGGGGAATCAAAGCTGCCTGACCACTGAGGTTGATGAAAGCATGCTGCAGTCCACTCACAGAAACAAGAAGCAAAACTCACATGGTCTCAGTTCACAGAAACCATCAGTAGCTGAAGGAGTGCCACACTCTTTATCCCAGCTAAATCTCAAAACATCCTCCAGCTCTTTCAGTGATAGTTTCAGTTCCCAGTCATCATGGGAAAAAGTCTCAGCTGACCTGAGCTTCCCCGCTAACAGAAAACCTCAGCCAAATAGCCTATCAAAAGCAGGAAGTGACGAGTGCAGTAAGTCACCAGATTCAGATGGAAGCTTCTTTCTTCTAGAAACACTTGATTCGGAAACCAGTGATTCACCTCAAGATCCCAAGTACAAAAGCCACACATCTGGAAGGCAATATGGAGCTTCATCCAAACCGCCACCTAATGGTGCCCCAGATATGAATACTGAGATTGACTCTGTATTTGTAAAACCTGCTATCAAGAACTCTTTTGCAACCCCAGAGCCAAACCTTCCCCAGTGTACCTCCACTGAGAGTTCATTTGAAATGCTGGAGGAGAATCACCAACACAGTGAAGCCCCTTCTACAGAGAATGCGAATGTCCCTCAGAGGAAGAACCCCTTGTGCTACAGCTGCCTAAAGCATAACACTGCTGTTCCTAAGAGACAGTATTCCTTGTCACATCAGGATTACCAAGCCTTACTGGCTGGAGTTTGCCATGAATGTCTGCTGAAGAGGCTGCACAGTAACAAAACACAATTCAAGCTGAAGGAACACAGAACTGCCTACAGTAAGTCTGAATGCCCCTTCTTGTTGAAAACTGTCTACATCATCAGTGCATGATTTTAGGCACATTAGCAGCATAGATCTAAGGGAAGGTGTGGTGGGCTGGGGATTCTTATATACAACTGTTCTGTCTACTAATCACTGCCCACTGTCACCACCATAGGTGCTCTTCATTTAAAGTTCTCCAAAGCATCAGAACTGTGGACAGCCAAGGAGACCTGTGTTTACATTGGAGAGCCCATGGGGATGGAAGGCAAGCAGAGAACAGCAATATGGGTACAGTTTCTACACCAGGAGGAGAGATTAAGCAGGTATGCAGCTGTACATTGTAGGCAGAACCTGAACATGATGACTTTTAGATTCACTGTGTCTGTGTATTTATGTCTTTAGTTATGTGGGGAAGGATTACTTGAAGCCAAAGCAGATCCAGTTCCACCTGAAAGATGTGGAGAGGCAGATGACAGCCCAGTACTATGTGAACGAATTCAACAAGAGCCTCTATGACAAAGAAGTCATGGCTCAGATCTTCTTCATTCCTTCAGAAGCACTGCTGGTGAGGCCAAATATTAGAGGTGGACTTAACAAAAAGCCAACCATAAAACTGATAAATAAATGTTTACTCCAATTAAGAGGGAGCAGAGATAGCAGATGTTGCATTGCAATAAACATGACTACTTTAGCAGTATCCCTTACAAATGTACAAAACTAAAGAGACAGCAGACTGTAGGACTGCCTGCAGCAGCCTCGAAGCAGTCTTGGTTTAAATTTAATTGCAAAACCCTCTAGTTCTCAGTTTATCTTCTTGTAACATATTAGAACCAATATTCTGTTGGTTATCAAGGGGAAGTGAGAAATTACAACACAAATAATAGTTTAGTGCTGAGTATCTTCTCATCTGCTCTTCCCAGAATGAGTCAAGCAAAGGAATATTTATTTTGTGCTGATACTTTGCACACTATAATGGAAGAAATACACTAAATTGTAATTTTATTGCAATATTAATGCATTGCCTAAAAGTCAAAGTAGACATCAACTGTATCTTAATTTCTTGTGAATAGATTTTGAGTGGAAATGAGATTGTGGGCTGTGTAACAGTGGAGCCCTACATGCTCGGAGACTTTGTCAAACTGACCAACAACACTGGAAAGAAGGACAAGAGTTTCCAGGCTACAGAATATGGCCTCGCCTTTGGACACTTCACCTACCTCTTCTCTGACTGTCAAGAAGTTGTTGTAGACCTACAAGGTGCGTGTGTGTGTGTGGTCACCAATCCATAAAATCACCTGTGTGTGTGATATATTTTACTGTCTGTGCACTCTTGTCATGTAAATGGTAGATGGTACTATCATGGTATCATCTTATAATATGATTTTTTTCCCCACAGGATGGGTTACAGCCAATGGCAAAGGGCTGACCTACCTCACTGACCCCCAGATCCACTCCACCAAGACCCCCAGAGGACCCTCCAACTTTGCAGACAGAGGCCTCAGGTACTTCCTGGAAGAGCAGCATGGAGCAGAGTGCAATGGCATTTGCCAGCTGCTCAAACTACCTCCAGTGGTCAGACAGCCACACGTTCTTCCTCAGAAACCATAAGGAGCTTCAGACACTAAGTTATTTTTAGCTCATAAATATGAATAACATGCCTTTGATGCAGGTTTCTCAAACTTACAGGTTATCATAATGTAGCTTAAATGACCCAAGTTACAATAAGTGTACTGTATTTTTCATAGTATACATTTATCTACAGCTCTTATAAATTATGTATTTTCAGCCACCTACAGTAACCCTGGTTACCTTAGACAGACTACATCAGGGGTTTACTGATTCCTCTTAGCTGAACATAGCAGTATATTTTTTGTTTGTTGTAGCAGTCATGGAAGGGAGGGGTTTACGTTTTAAATGAGAAACATAGGAGTTTTGTTTTCTGAAATACTGATTATTAACGTGAGTGCAATGTTGAGAAATGCCTGTTAGCAAACCTAAAAAACTGTATAAACACAATGGAGTTAAATCTTAACATACTTCTGCTTTGTTCTTGCAAACAAAGCCTTTTGTTATGTAGCACTGTCACTACCAGATTTCTGTCTAACTGGACTGACGGTGCAGGAATCACCTGACACCGTGACTAATACTGCTGTTCCGTCATAAAACCTTCCTATCAGTTGCATTGTATAGTTTTGTTCTGCATTTGCCCCTGTTAACACTCTTGTGTTAGCTTTTCTGATATGTAGAAAAGGGCTTTCCTTATTTAATCATTAACTTAGTAACCACCTGATGTTTTTTTAACAGGGGGTTTAAAAAAGTGCCTTGTCCGCATCAGTAATGAATTGTAAAATGTCAATAGATTGCAAATAAATAAGATGTAGATTTCTTTATTTAGATATAATGGGGTAGTGACTGAAAGTGACTACAGCAATGTAGAGACACTAAGTTTTATAAATCAAAGGACTTACAATATTTAGTTAAGTTGCAGTAGTTCAGCCAGTCAGATGACTGTGGGTGAGGTATGGGCCTTTAGGTGAGATAACCTTGCGAATGTTAAAGTTTCTTTATCACTGATAAATGTTTGTTTAAAATGTCCATTTATGTAACTTCAGACTATGCTGATATTAAAGTACTAAAAGTAACCTCAGCATTTACTGTGTAAGTCAATTGAAGCATTGGAAACTTAAAAGTCACCTTTACAGTTCTGCACTTTACACTTTTGAATCATAGGAATAAAAAGTCAAGTTAATGTGAATGTACAATGTAATGTTGTTGGTGAAGTTAAGTTTGTATACATCCTGAACAGCAAAACCAATGAGGGAAGAAGAATTGTGTGTCAAAGTACACCAGTTTAATGATTGCAGTTACACCCCTTCATATCATATGACAGTGATGTCACACATGACCCTGCTCCCCAGTCAACCAAATTCAACTTCAGTGTTTATCACCCTCCTGGCAGCATCCTTTACCCTTGGCTCACTGTGCACAGGCCTGGCACTCACTCTGATTACACACACTACGAAAAGTGAGCTTTTCTAAACATGTTTACCTGAAAGGTTGTGGGGGGGGTTTGCATTTGGTGCACAGTAAAATGTAATGGTGTAACCAAATGCACAAAAAGCTTCTAAATGTTTTTTTTTCATTTGAATACATTCAAAGTTTGGTTTGAAAATATATACAAATATAATATTGCTTAACAGTTATGCACACAGGCTGCTGTACAGTTGTCTCCCCCATGAAAAACATTGACCAGTCAGTAGTGTGCATTAAGAACAGGTGACCTTTATAAATATCAGTGCTGCTGTTTATGGCCTTTTATTCTGATGTGTCCACAAAAACAAGCTTTCCTCTCAGGTGTAGGAGGAGCTGACTTTCCTGAGGCTCAGTGGGTAAAAATTAACCCCCGGAAGCAGCATCAGTATTCCTAAGGAATTGATGCCTCTCTCTAGCACTATTGTTTGTGGTTGCCTGAGAACAGAAGCCTGGAAACCAAAAATATGAGATGCTTAGCAGGACTTCTCTTCTTACTGTCAGGCTGCCTGGCCTCGAAGCCTCAACCATGCTGTAAGTAAAATGCTAGAGACAAGACAGGTGTATGCAGGAAATAATTTTTGCTTTAATTGTTTTTATTGCTGACTTAACACAGTCATCTGGCTTATTTTGTGGTTTAATTTCACATATCTTATTACACAGCAAGTCCTCCTCTTATGAGCGGAGCCTTCACTGTGGTGAGTGATTATTGGTTCAAAGTGTGCTGCACGAGTGCAATGAAAGAAGACCTGAGCCTAACAAGTAAACTCACTCACATTCTTCCTCCAGACCACACAGAATGAAAAGCTGCTTACCACGGCGCAGTACCTGTATGATGCTTTGGGAGAACGGATCCGCATCTTTGAGCAGGGCACTTATGAGAATAAGACCTTCATCCGTGACGTTCTTTTGCTCTACAGAGAGGTGACCAAAGCAATGACAGGAACATCCAAATTACTTTAATGCACTGTCACCTCTGATATCAGATGAAGAGTGTAATTTTATTGCAGTAGAAAAACAGAGAGCAGCATCAACTATTCCAGTAGGAATGTAGTCCAAGTTTAAATCTAATTTCTACTATTTGGAAGCTTAAGGGTATGAACACAAATTCTAACTCAATATTATTGTCAATATAATCAAATTGTTTTCAGCATTGGTTCCTGAGTGAATAAAAAAGATGTCCTTTTAATAGCTTTAAAGAAATACAGCACATAGGAGTAAAAGGCACAATGGAGTTGCAATAAGATCCATGCGTAGAGGTGAAGCGAGTTCTCCCACCTCTTTATTGGTCCTTGGACTTTGACAATAATTGACACAAGGAGTGGTCCTCTGGTTGTCACACTATTATGGAAGATGAAGTTTTCGATAACCATATTTTTCTGTGTGTCTAGCGAAATATAACTTAAATATAGATAGAGATGGAAATATTTAGATTTAAGTGTAACTTCTTCTACAGTAACTGTACTGTGATTTTAAAAACAAACTGATGAAATTTGCACATTTTTTGCCAAATTTACAAACTACATATGTATTCGATCTGTACACAGCACTTTGTAAATTATACTGAAATGTATATTTGGTATAAAAGAATAAAAATGTCAAATGATTCAAAATAAGTAACAGTCTTCCTCAACCAACAACTTTCATCCCTCAGGGTGCCATGTATGACATTTTCGATAATAACCGTACATGCAAGAAAACACCTCTGAAGGCAGCCTTCCAGCCCCTGGAAGTCCCGAAAACTGCATCTCTGCTGGGTCAAGTTATTCTGGGCAGCTCGAGTAAACCTGGAGGAGGACTCCTGGTCAACTCCTGGTGGGGAGAACTGTCCGAGAAAGCAGGTGAGAGAGCATGTAATAGTTAGAACCTTTTATTTTTTTTACTTTATCACATTTATTCTCGTTTCTGTCCATCCAGGAAAGTTCTTGACCACGGTTACTGAATTTGGATGCATTCCTATCAACTCTTTGTACCAAACTGAGGATTTTGGATGGACAGTGATCAAGTAAGATTAAGGCCAGTTCCATTAAAATGGTATAAAAAAAACTAATAGTGACAGGCCAAAAACAGCTGTTTGAAAGTGAGAAATATTTCCACGTAGTTAAGTGTTACTGTCTTTCTGTTCAATAGCTTCTTTGACAACATCATTGGGATTTCGGACCCCAACCTGCTCAACCCCCCAGACTTCTGCTCCAACGCAGACACTGAAAAGGAGCCAGTAGACTTCCTCAGCTTGTTCCATAAAAAGAACTGACAGCCTACTTTAAACTAAGGTCTCAAACCTTCATTAAAATGTTTAAATAGAAAAAGCAAAAACCCTGACTCATACAGCGTATAGTATACATCACACTTAGTCCTGCTAAGAACATGGGTAATTCAAGGCATCTTAAAGAAAATTCAGAATAATTTTTCATATTTCTGGCATATTATTCATATTAACTATGCATTTTAAAATTATTTGTAAGGTAAGAAGAATTGTTAATAACAATCATATCACAAAGAATTACCACCAAACTCTGCATTACCTCTGAGCTCATATTACATCACTTAAAGTGTGGTGTTTGTGATTCTAGATGAATGCTACTCGGTGGCAACTGTTTGCTAACATGTTTGACATAAAAACTTATGTAAGGTGGTCTCTCAATGTGGGTTTTGTTGTCATAAATTCATTCAGCTTTTTAAAATGAATATTGGATGATTTCAGCCTTCTTTCATCAACAGAAAAACTGTTATTTTTCATTCAACAGTAGACCTTCAGTTAGTTTTCTTTAACAGTCTATAGCAGGATAGGTCTCATATTTACTTACATACTCCCACTTTCTAACAATATGCTGATGTGTCATTAAGTTTATCAATAAAATACTAAAGAAATTCATTTATTACAATGTACAGAAATGTAATATTGGGGGCTTTGAGAATTCACATCTTTCACAATATAAGTTACCAAGTTTCATCTGGAAATATAGCAAATGTGTCAAAGTGGATTTTTAATAACAATAAAGAAATCAAATTAACATTTTGATTGTTTTGTGAATTTTAAATCCAATATCAGTCTAAACACAAGTCATAGCCAATTTCACAGATATTCATATAAAGAGATAAACACAGACCCACCATCACATGCCCTTGGATTATTATATTAAACTTTCTGCTTTGCATCTGCAAAAAAAAAAAAACCTGGATGGTTCTTTCTCTTTACAGTGTCAGTGCCTTGATATTCTCCTCCTCAGTTCATGTTACCTATATTAAAACAATGCTAGTGTAATACTAGACCATGTTGCAGTCTTTGATCAGCAAAGCCATCTTATGGTTTGATTTAATGGAGAACAGAACTCACTAAGATTAAAAACAAGCTTTTACTGGAAATATGGTTTTCTCACTTCTTCACAGTACTTTACTTTAATTCCATTTTCTTCTGAAATTTTATTAATGTGTCATACAGTAAACAGGTATGATATAATGTGCATTCAGGCTTCACAGTGACGCATACTTTGTCATTTTCACTTTGACGATAATAACGACAATGATTATTGTGGCTTTAGTAGAATAATAGTTGTATGTTATGTAGTTGTGTATGCATATAAATAGTTTTGAATATATGAGAAAAAAACAAAAGGTATTATAAGTCTAGTGAACTTTAAAGTTAAAATGAAAAAACTGAATAAAAGGGTAAAGTTCTACAAAGATGAAGATTGGAGCTTTTGTTTTGTACTACAAAGAGATACAGTGAGGATAGGGAGAGAGAATGAAGGCAATAAATAGTGTTTGTTATACCATTATTTTGAAAGGACAGGAGAAGAAAAACCCGGCAGCAGATGCAGACAGGGAACTTCACCAGCCTGTTTTTAAGGAGACGAATGCTGTGAAAACAACATACAGTATTTACCTTGTGTGCAGAGAAAGGTCTCTGCGCCAGCAGAGAGCATGAAAGTCCTCATCCTGCTTGTTTGCTTATCAGTGGGCATCCTAGCTACAAAACCAAAAAAATGCAGTAAGTACTACACACATATTGAAGTGTACACTGGATTTTATTACCAATGTCTTCAGTTATCAGCATTTCATTTTACAGTACATGTAGTTCTTTTTTGTCTCAGCAGTTATAAGAAATATATAAAGGCTAAATTGAGAATATAGGACAATGTGATGTAAATGCTCAATGTAGATTAAAACCACTTCTTTAATTTTGTCAGGATCCCCACCACTGCTGAGTGGACAGCTTTCTGTGGTGAGTCCTGATCTCTGTATAAAATGATCATACTAGTGCATCAATCCAATTCTGTGACAAGTAATACATCTGAAAGGTTTCATTCACCATTGATAATTTACTGGATTATTCTTATTAAAAGCAGTCTCATTTGGAGCAGTGTTGTAGCAGCCAAAGCATTATGCATGGCAAAGTTGTAAGAAAGTTCTTGAATAATAGGATTTAAAAAATTTTATACAAAAAAAAAATCCTCTTTTTCAAGTCCACCTCAAGTGAGAAGCTGACGGCCTTTGCCAATTACAGCTATGATCCACTGGGAAAGCGCGCCCACCTCAGAGGCAAGTGAGAAGCTGACGGCCTTTGCCAAGTACAGCTATGATGCATGTGGAAAGCGCATCCGCCTCAGAGAGGTTGGATCTTACAGCAATAAGACCTTCCACATTGATCTACTTCTACTCTACAAAGAGGTAATGAAAACACTGCAATAACATCGACACTAACAAATCTCACGTACGCACAAATGACTGTATAATGCCAATCTGTCCCTAGGGTGTTATGTATGTCATTAACGACAGGAACCGCACATGCCACAAGAAGCCACTGAATGACAGCTTCCACCCAATGGAGGTCCCCCAGAATGCCTCCCTGCTGGGACAGGTTGTGTTGGGCAGCAAATCTGGCCCACGAGAGGGACTCCTGGTCAACACCTGGGTGGGAGAGCTGCAGGTGAAAAACGGAACAGGTACAGTATGAGGAAACTAGATAAGAGGACATGTTGCAAAATACATTGTAGCGCATGACTTTCTCAGATTTCCCCATTGTATTTTATGCTGAGGAACCAGTTTGTCTGGTTGTGCTACCTCAGTACCTTGTGATTATCTTTTGTTTATACAGCAAAATACATGACCACTGTCACTGAGTTTGGGTGTATCCCCATCAGCACATATTTTCACACCGACAAAACTGGATGGATTGTGACCAGGTCAGTGCATAAACATAACAAAAATTAGCTTTTTTGCCAGACAGGGAATCAGGCTTTTTTGTAAGACTTAGAAAAGGTAGAACATAATGATCATATTCCATTTAGACAAGACCAGAGCCGGATTGAATCTGTGTAGTTACTGTTATATCCAGTCAAAATGTCTGCTGCAAGAAGCTTGTCCAACCAATGTGAAAGATTCCTTATTTTACTAAGACCCAACATAAAAGAACAGGCTGAGACCAAAGCATTTTAAATCATCAAAAAATGTTTAAACATACCAATATAAAATCAATGATTTGTGGTTTTATGAGGGGTTATGTGTTGGAAAAAGCTAAGCCAGCCTCCTGCCTCTATGTAATGCCTGCATGGTTTCATCGAACGTTCCGTTTTTCACCTTCAGCTTTTTCAACAACATCAAGGGACGTGTGCACCATGATGAGTTCAAACCTCCACCTTTCTGCACGGATGCACAGCTGGAGGACTGGGATGAAGAGAATCCAGTAACCTTCTTTAGCCTGTTTTAAAGACATAATAGCCATTTCCAGAACTGTAGAGCACTGTGATGATGATTACTACTATACGACTCCTTGCACTCTATTATTACTTTCTAGTAGTGGACCTTGCTGAAATGGCATTTATGTAGCTGTGTATGTAAAATCATTTCTTGTAGGTATACTGATTTCTGAGTGCATGAGAGTTCAGTTCATTGCACTTGTGATCTAAAAATCTGAGGGTTGATTTCAAAATGTTCACAGTTTTGCCAAATATTAAAATCTGTTCCGTATTGTTTTTTTTTATGAACCAATCAGCAACATGTGCACAAGCTTCAGACTGAAGCCGAGAGTCGGCACTTTAACCCAACACAATCTTACTTTAAAAACAATTTTCAGGAGTGCAGCACAGAAACAAATCTGTACTGTATCATTAAATCTACAGGTGAACAAACTAAGGCTGCAACTAACACTTACTTTTATTATTGATTAATCGACAGATTATTGTAACACGTCAAAAATAGTGAGGAAGCATCTGACATTTACTTTATTTGTTAGTTTTAGAAAGAAAAACACAAAAGGTAAGCATACAGACAGCAGTGCTTACCCAAGTAAAAGGAGTGTGAAAGCACAGAGTGGCACCCTGGCGCTTAAAGAAACCCGAAAAACTGTTTATCGAGCTAATACATTCAGGGTGTCAGCGCTGCAGCTTCATTGGCGGAAAACAAACAGAGCCAGCAACGTTTTCACTGTTTACCTGCTCTCTTTGTGGATCAAACTGCCTCTAAAAAACCTGGTTCAATCACATGAGGTACATTTCAGAGAACCCTTCAAACTCAAAATACATTTAGAGCTAAAAAGCACGAGCCTGTGGTACCTACACAGCCGAAATTAGCCCGCATTAGTAGCAGGCAATAAGCGTAGTGGCACCAAACTCCATTTGAAAATATTTAAATTTTAATCCCACCTTGTGTAGACAACAGGATATAACAAAACTATAACTATTTGTACGTCATACAAGTCTTCTGTTAAACTCGACATTGACAGCGCCCACCCAAAAAATACTAGAATTCAATAAAATCACGACTTTAACCGTAGATCTCCGTTAGTCAATACCGCCCACCACGGCTGTATTTTACTAGAAAAACGCCGTAGAAAATCCTGTCTACAAAAACAAAAGCCTGTTTTCAATTAAAACAAGTACAGATGTATATAATAAATGTGCAGTAGATTAAATGGTCAGAGATGAAGTTGTCAGCTGTTGTGATTTTTACTGAAGAGATGCACTGGCAGGACATCGTCAATTTGTGAGGTTGGGTGAATACCAATCGTGTGAGCTGGATATTGTATGTGGAGTGCCTCAGGGTTCTGTTTTGGGACCTAAATTATTTATATTATACATTAATGATATATGCAAGGTTTCTGATTTAGTGAAAGTGGTTTTGTTTGCTGATGACACTACCATATGGGCATCGGGTGAAAACCTACAGCAACTCTCTGGACGGGTTTCACAGGAACTTGAGAGGATAAAGAAATGGTGTGATAGTAATATACTATCTCTGAATTTGGATAAAACTAAATTTATGGTATTTGGGAATCGTAGACTAGATAATGAACTTCAATTGAAAATTGGGGGAGCTAATATAGAACGAGTATATGAAATTAAATTTCTAGGTGTCATAGTTGATGACAAATTCTCCTGGAAATCTCATATTGGATATGTTCAGCACAAAATAGAAAAAAAATATATTATATTGGCAAGGGTTGGATATATTTTGGACAGGAAAGCACTACGCATTTTGTAGTCTTCACTGATTTTACCATACTTAAAGTATGGCGTTGAAAACTGGGGAAATACATACAAAAGCTCACTTCAACCATTGTATATATTACAAAAAAGAGCGATAAGAATTGTGCATAAGATGGGGTACAGGGATCACACCAATGGAGCTTTCATACAGTCTAAATTGTTAAAATGTTTTGATTTAGTGGGATATAAGACTGCTGTGTTTATGTATAAAGCCAGGAACAATTCATTACCTGGTATTTAATGAAAGGGAAGGGGGATACAATTTAAGGGGTCAATTAAATTTAAAAATTCATGCTATACGTCCAACCAAAAAAAGATTTTGTATTTCCATAAGTGGGGTAAAACTATGGAATAATTTAAGTGTGGACATAAAAAATAGTAATAGAATTGACGAGTTTAAACATAAATATAAAGGTATGTGTCAATCAAGATATATGCAAGAACAGGCTCAATGATTAATTAGATGGAACATTGTGGGTGTGGTGTATGAATGTTAACACTCTGTTATAGTTCTTTAGTATATTACTTGTGTGGTGTAGAAGAGAATTATCTATGTAGAGATACTGCTTGCAAACCAATGATGGTAAGATGATGTCATGGGGTAGGACTGGATAAGTCTGACTTCTTCCTACTCCATTCAAGCATGTACTAGGTATAAGCAAATTGATATTGGATTAGCATTTGTTGGATATGTGTAAAATTATGTGTGTTGACATATCAACTGTCTTTACATGCTTGAAAGAATAAATCAAATCAAATCAAATATTTTGTTTCATTTTTGACTGGCTGGCTGACAGCACAGATACAGGTAGGTGTTTTATACCGTGTTTTTTTAAGTCATCATATTATCATGTTAAGATGCAAGATAAAAGTGCCGTCTCCCACAGAACAGGTATGTGCATTCTCCCTTGTGTTGTGCTGGGTGAGGTAGTCTACTGGCCACTAGATGGGAGTGCATAACAAGTAATGACAGCAAGAAATGGTGTTCAGGAGTCTACTGATTTAATATTATGACCACTCAGAGGTAGAACATTACTGTTGTACAACAAGACGAGGAGTCACTTGGTAGCAGTAGTAACACACTCCCCTCAGCTCTCCGACCTCCTGCACGCCTACATCTGCTTCCATCACCCCGGGCTCCTGTGCTTCAGTCTCCAGCCACAGCAGCCTGGCATCAGGGTCCTCATCAGAGAACTGGAGCAGAGTTCCCGAGCTTCGCAACACCTTCAAACACTGGTTCAGCACCAGGCCGGCCTTCCCTTTCCCTTCCTTAGACCTCAATAAGGCGTCTGTGGTGCCCTTATCAACTATCAGGTCCACACTGTTAGAACCATAGTACTTGTGAAGCCGCATGCAGTCCAGCTCTACAAACTCAAGCTGAGAAGAAAGATTGTGAGGTTGTATGGCTTTGACTCGGACATGTTCCTGCATTAGTCGCACAGCTATGGGTGAAATGTCAGCACAGGTCACCCAGACAGGGAGAAGACAGTGTCTGTAAATACAGGGCCCCAAAGCAGAAGTTCCACATCCAATATCCACGACTTTGAGGCAGCCATCTGAATGAGACTTAGTCTGCAAGAGTGGCATAATGAAGTCCTGGACAGCCTCAAAGCCAAAGAACCACTCAAAATTCTTGAAGGTGGGTGTCCTGCTGCTGCTCTCAGCGTAGAAACGGTCCCAGGTTGTCTTCTTATCCATGTTTTCAATCAGCTCATCTTGGCAGGAACACAAACAGATTACTGGATATTATTAGCAGTAGTAAATCTTAAGTGTTAGATATTGACCCTGGCACATTAAGGGTTCTGTCATATCAAGGGACTCCATGCCAAACTTAATAGACAAAAAAATGGCACTACTAAATGTGGCATAAAGATAATTTTTAATGTGATTTTAAGTTTATCAAATTATGTATGCTGCTCATGGAAACAAAAACATACTTTAGTGTTCTCAAGCAAATGTATTCTATATCTTTACCGTAAATTTACTTGGTAGAACACGTAGAGGTGGGGGTATCATTCACTCGAGTCACTTCTGACCGTTCTTGCGCATCAGATGGTTAATTCAACCCATTTTAGCTGCTAACTAGCTTAGCTGGTACTAGCAGCAACAATACCGATGCCAACAGTCAATATAGCCAGGTTATCTGAAATTACTCAAAATCCTTATTTTAACCGTACCTGTCAGAGAAGAATGACACCGTAAAGTCACACAAGATGCTACTATTCGCCTGCCTGACAAACTCAAAGCCTTTAATTGTTTTGTTATATGTTCTTTGGTGACAGATTTGTCTGAGTGAGCACTGTACATATGAGGGCGGATGTTGATGGCTACCTTATTTGCATTCCCATGATGAATTGCTGATTGGGACTAAGTGCGCACAAAGCAAGCTTGTCCAGCAGTCAAAACAGGAACAGTTAATCACCAACATGCAGCTTTGACCAAATCAACCACACTGAACACACAAATGTGACTTTTCCACCTCCTGCTCAGCTACAGCTGCTAAGACTTTCAAATGTGCAGACAGGCAGCCAGTCACAGCTTACAAGTCAAATCCCACTGCTCTGAAACCAAAGCATGGCTGGATGAGGCAGGGTCAGTGAAGAAGCTGCAGCGCAAGTAATCAGCGGCCCTGACACTCAAAGATGCCTTCTCCTAATCCACGCAGCTTTGAGGTCTGTGGGAGAAATTCACCTTGAATCACCACAGTCAGACAGCTGCAGCCTGCATAAGGGAACACATGATGAGGGGGGTGATTGAATGAAAATAGAATGAGCAAGGTAAGTATGGTTTCTCACTTGGTTAATTCAGCTACCAATGCAGAATCACAATAGACTAGTAGACAGTGCCTGGAAAGTCAGTGTGAGCGTGACATGATGAATACTCCAGCAAGGTGTTATCCATGACAGGTCAGGGTTGAAACCATGGGTTCAAAATAAGCTTCTGCATCTTCTATCCTCCAAGATGGGTCAAGCCATAATTTTGCACACCAACAGACCTTTGTTAACCATCATTCTCACACTAGTAAACACAGGATAGAGATCCTGCCGCTCCCTCAATCTAATTTTCAGAGCAGGCGTTCCCCTGCTCCATGATGCTCTTCCTTCCTGAAAATGACTGCACAGGCCTGTTCATTCCATCTGTGATGGATTCAGATCTCCATGAGGCAGGTATTTACAGAATGTCATCAGAGCTGCTGCAGCTTTAAGCACATAGATATGATGTCATGGTAATTATACATAGAGTATATGACCCATTAATAAAGCTAATTCTTGTATTCAATCCTCCACACAGTCACCAAGTCACTTGGTTGTTTATGAGTGGAGTAAATAAACTGATAGTGAGCTGGCCAGTGAACTGTAAATGGCACCATCATTAACAGTGTAGAACTAGGAAACATATCTGGCAGCCGTGGGATGCGACCCGCGTTATCTACAAGGTTGAACTGTGATGACTTTTTCCAGCATAAAGTAGAACGACCATCCGTGACTTTCTAATGAGTCAGCGTGACATTCTCATCGCTGTTTTTAATGGTGCAAGCGGACAAGTCCATGCGTGATCTCATGTGGTGTTGCAATACAATAGTACACGGATCAAGTGACCAAATGGTGAAATTTTTACACAGAACATAAAACAGACACATGACGTTTCACTGTGGCACGTTTCATCAAAAAGAGAGAGGCCCATCATGTAAAAATGTGCAAAATAACTCAAAACATGGGAGTTATGACATATTTCTTACCTTTAGAGTTTGAAGGGTCCCATGTTCTAGCTGGAGAGGCTTCAGTGACAGCAGCTGTGGAGTGAGCTCTGAGATGAAAAGCGTAGCATCACCAGCACCACTGAACTCACAGCGCCTTTGGCTAGAAAGTGGAAACGTCTTGCGGCAAGAGGCAGCAGTGATCGAAACAACTCATTAGGAGTTACGCACGGATTGTTTTATAGAGTTAATTCCGGCTCTCCTCTGAGTTGGCTATGCGGGTATTTTTACGGTACATTAACTCCACAACGCGCACAAGTCCTCTCCTGGTGCACTCGAAAGCAAGTTATGGATGTGGTGTGTGTTGGAGTAGAGCAGCGGAGCTCAGTCTTCTGGTCGCAGCTGGTGCGCGTGCCTGCCTTCTGATCCAGCTGTGCAGCTCACAATCACACTGCAGAGCCACAGTCCCGCCTATTGGTAGTAACACAGCAACACCACAGCATGTCCACATGCTCACTGTGTACGAGCGGCGTCCAAACATAACAGTTAGGTGGCTGCTCTGCGACACCAGTGCGTCTTGTCAGTCAAAATCACACTTATAGTTTTGTGCTGCCTTCAAATGCTCCTCATAAAGTTAAAAAAATGCAAACATAATGTGTTCATCATCATTGTTATTATATAGCGTTATTATTATGATTATTAAAAAGGCAGACAGCTGGTACAGTGCCACACTGGGGAATTCATTATTCAATATTTATGAATGACATTTATGACAAGAAGAGAGTCTATAAACGTGCAGTAGCCTATTACTAATTACTTATATGTCAACATATGTCAAATGCTCCAAAATAAATAGCTCGATTTTATAAACTATCATACATCGCCGACTCGGTAGGCTGCACTGACCTGTTGCAATATGATAGGGTGCCTTCCCCTTCGTGTCGTCACATGTTACATTTAAGTCATGCGGGAGTAAGAGCGAAAAGTCCAAACCTGGCTTCATAAGCGGGAGAAACTAGTTTTGTTTGCTTGTATGTTTGATATTTTATTGAACTTTGGCAGCCTTGCTAATAAATGGAAGGTATAGAGGCATATGAATCATATGATCAGTAAAGAAATATTTACTTTTTGAAAGTTAAAGTGAAGAACATCACAATATTTACCCTCAAATCATATGGAAACCCATAAATGTAAATCATCAAAATATAGGCCTACATTTATCACCTGAAAATGTTGCTTCCAAGTGCTTCCTCTGTTTACTAAAAAAGGTTGTGATAGTTAACCAAAAACCCTTACATTTGTTTGATTTAAAGTGTGACAAGTGGCACAGAGCTGGGACCCTGCATTGGCCTCACTTCATCACTTCTCTGCTTTCACACTAAATTAGATTTGTAAATTGGACAGATTTTGATAGGTGATGCTGATCGGGCAAATGTGCCAGTCGTCTCCCACAGAACAGGTATGTGCATTCTCCCTTGTGTTGTGCTGGGTGAGGTAGTCTACTGGCCACTAGATGGGAGTGCATAACAAGTAATGACAGCAAGAAATGGTGTTCAGGAGTCTACTGATTTAATATTATGACCACTCAGAGGTAGAACATTACTGTTGTACAACAAGACGAGGAGTCACTTGGTAGCAGTAGTAACACACTCCCCTCAGCTCTCCGACCTCCTGCACGCCTACATCTGCTTCCATCACCCCGGGCTCCTGTGCTTCAGTCTCCAGCCACAGCAGCCTGGCATCAGGGTCCTCATCAGAGAACTGGAGCAGAGTTCCCGAGCTTCGCAACACCTTCAAACACTGGTTCAGCACCAGGCCGGCCTTCCCTTTCCCTTCCTTAGACCTCAATAAGGCGTCTGTGGTGCCCTTATCAACTATCAGGTCCACACTGTTAGAACCATAGTACTTGTGAAGCCGCATGCAGTCCAGCTCTACAAACTCAAGCTGAGAAGAAAGATTGTGAGGTTGTATGGCTTTGACTTGGACATGTTCCTGCATTAGTCGCACAGCTATGGGTGAAATGTCAGCACAGGTCACCCAGACAGGGAGAAGACAGTGTCTGTAAATACAGGGCCCCAAAGCAGAAGTTCCACATCCAATATCCACGACTTTGAGGCAGCCATCTGAATGAGACTTAGTCTGCAAGAGTGGCATAATGAAGTCCTGGACAGCCTCAAAGCCAAAGAACCACTCAAAATTCTTGAAGGTGGGTGTCCTGCTGCTGCTCTCAGCGTAGAAACGGTCCCAGGTTGTCTTCTTATCCATGTTTTCAATCAGCTCATCTTGGCAGGAACACAAACAGATTACTGGATATTATTAGCAGTAGTAAATCTTAAGTGTTAGATATTGACCCTGGCACATTAAGGGTTCTGTCATATCAAGGGACTCCATGCCAAACTTAATAGACAAAAAAATGGCACTACTAAATGTGGCATAAAGATAATTTTTAATGTGATTTTAAGTTTATCAAATTATGTATGCTGCTCATGGAAACAAAAACATACTTTAGTGTTCTCAAGCAAATGTATTCTATATCTTTACCGTAAATTTACTTGGTAGAACACGTAGAGGTGGGGGTATCATTCACTCGAGTCACTTCTGACCGTTCTTGCGCATCAGATGGTTAATTCAACCCATTTTAGCTGCTAACTAGCTTAGCTGGTACTAGCAGCAACAATACCGATGCCAACAGTCAATATAGCCAGGTTATCTGAAATTACTCAAAATCCTTATTTTAACCGTACCTGTCAGAGAAGAATGACACCGTAAAGTCACACAAGATGCTACTATTCGCCTGCCTGACAAACTCAAACACTTTAAAAGCGAAGCCATTTTCCCTCAGCGACTTTGCTACTTGTCCAACAAGAGTTCTCACTCTGCCCGTATTTCCTAGTACCACAAACACCCATGACTAAGAGCGACTACTCGCGCCCACTAAAACCATAACAAGAAAGCATCTGTTCTGTAATGTCGGATCTTTGCTTGCAATAACACGACAGCACATGTATCAGAGCAAGTGAAAAGTAAAGCACATCTCTCCCCAGCAAACCATGCTCTTAAGTGTTGCATTATGTTTGTGTTTAAAGCTAAATTAGCAGAGTAACAACATTTCCGATACAGGTTACAAGCAAAAACGCATAGGCTAGCAATCATTGCTTTCAGCTTCTCAAATGTTAGTCGGACAAAATGAGTTTAACAAACATGTCGGCAAGGGACGTTGCTAAACATAAAGCTCTACTGGAGCGCAGGACCCTCTTTATTCAAATCACACTTTTTTCTTGAATGTTTATTGCTCAGCCCACTATTCCACTGCCTGCTGCTAGTACAACTACTGGAAACGGTAAAAATGTGGAGATATTAATTTTTATGAAAATATTTCAACATGCATTAAGAACATTAACATTGGCTGATGGCATAAAGGTCTGGCCCCGTGTTGCACCTTCTTTGCATTGTTCTGCATTTCACAATAATTACTAATTTGTGAAGCAGCCCATAAACAAATCATAAATTTAAAAAAAATATCTAAACATATTTTGCAACTCAAAGCCACAAAACATATCAACTTTCCAATTGCTTTGAAATTGTATTGTGCAACAGAGAGTTGGTGGTGGCACACCTGTCTCCATAGAGGCCCCTGCACAGACATCTTTCTCCACACTTTCCCTTCCTGACGTCACACACCTGTAGCAGGTAGAGACCACAGATTATCATTAAAATGTTTTTCTTTTTTTTAATACACTGGGCCTTACCTAACACTTCAAGTAATTTCCTGGAAATTAATACAGAAGAAAATCCAAAATTCATCTTGTTGTACAACAGTAATCTTCATTTAAGAGGTACCTCCTACCTGCTGCAGATTTAACAAACAGCTTTAGCAGTTGCTCTCAAAATCCAAAAGACTTACAGCCATGCCCACTCCACGCCGTACTTATTGATGATTGGTCTGCGGAACCCCCATCCACCCACTTCCTGTTCCTTCATGGGCTGTTCCAAGATCAATATGATGTTTCTGCTTTTGAACACAAAGTGAACAGCCTATACCGCTGAGCGAATACTGCATCAAAGAGCACACAATTTTAATATACAGTCCAGTCATGATTTTACACAGATTAGATCAAGGAATGAATTTACAAGCACAGTGTGACTCAAATGTCCTATCTGCAGAGTTTCTGATTCAAAATCAAAAGCTGTGGGCTGCTGAGGATGTGGTGTCCACCATAATCAGCCTATATGAATATTGCCTTAGTAGTTTGATTCTCATGATTTTCCAGCTGTTTGCACTAGAGGGCGCTAGGGTATAAGCACATAGTCGTGTTCCTACTTTGTTTAAATGTTTGAGCCTAAGTTTGTCATCTATTATAGGGCAGCAACTAATTATGGTCATTATTAATATGCCAGTTTTCTTAATTAATAGATTAATAGATTAAAGCCTTTAAGGGATTATCAACAGTCCAAAACTGTAAGAAGTTTGTCACTGTTCAGTTTTATCATAAAAGTCTAAGAAAACCAGCAAATGTTAACATATGACAAGCTGAAACTAGAGATTTTCTTGGCAGTGGTTTACAAAATGAATTTATTATTCAACAAAGCAGGTTAATTTTCTGCCAGCCAGTCACCCCAACTCCTACAGTCTTTCACTAGGTAAAGTGCCAGGATGATGCCAACAGAAGTCATCTTTTTGACAGTGACTTTATTCAGTTTCAGAAATACAGCTTAATTGAAATTTTTCTCAATCAAAAAAGCTATTACATGGCAATGAAAATAATCATATACAGTCCTAATTTCAACTTGCTTAAAAAAGACAATGACACCAGAAACAAGATGTAAATCCCTTTAATAAAACGCAATGAAACGCAGTGTAACAAAGGAAAAGAATTCAACATAAAGCAAGTAGATAACATTTACAACCACAAAAGAAAAAAAAACCTGTACAACTCTAAATGCCTGGAGTCACTTCTGTTTTTCCAACGTTTTTTAATTAACCATATGGTGATGACTGAGGGAAAATATGAAAGTTTGGGGCAAAAGGGGGTAAGGGAAGCATGTAATGTGATTTTATTTTATTTTATTAAATACATGAGTGTAATCTCATACACAGGTGTATGCTTCATCAGCGTGGCTGCTGTTTTTGTAACTCACTGCTGTAGCGTACAGCAGCAGTTGGAGGATGGGCTGGGCTGGGCTGTGGCCAGGAGTGTTATTTGTACAAGATGTCATAATGGCCAGGTCTATAGAGGAGGAATATGCGTGGGTCACCACCCTCAGGGAAGACGTGGTGATTGACTATTCCTCCCTCTCCTCTATCCATGTACTCCACCAGGATGGATACGTTCAGGGCCTGAGCTAAGGCAATGATGTGAATGTGGTCGCTTTCTTTAGACATTGGCTCTACCTCCTTGAAAAAGAAAAAACATATTAGGTGTGTTTTTTCACTATGAAACATAAACAGAGACTGAATATCACGATCATACACTTCTGCACCCACGGTTGTACTCTTTTAAGAAACAGCCTGCTACATATGATTTAACACAACTCCAAATCAGAAAAAGTTGAGACGGCATGTAAAATCAAAATTACAATTGAAAATAGTGATTTGTAAATCATATGTGTCCTGTATTACATTGAATACAGCAGCACATTATTTGATGATACCTCTTCAATTTGATTCTAAATAAACACACCTCAGAGTGAACCAGATAAACCCTACCTGCTGACAGAACTCCTTGACAGAGCGTCCTCCCTCTATGAAGTGCTGGAAGAAGCCATTCTCTCGCTGCAGGTAACCTGAGGTGAGCAGCCGCAGGTACACAACCACGTAGTCTGACACGTTCTGGTCATTGAAGGAGTTCAGTAGCTCCTGCAAGCTCGGCTGTTTCTCACATAGTTCGATCAGGTCCATGAACTTGGAACAAAGACATTTACATTGTTAAACTGATATGCATGACTCCAATTTGCTAACTATCTCTCCAATGGGCCAAAACCAGTATCTCTCTGCTTCAGTGATCAAATACACCATGCAGGGAAACTGACAAATTACTGTAGTGATACAGTGAAAACATAATACAAAAATCCAAAACGTACTGTGAGACTGAAGACATTTTACAGCTTTTTATGATTAGAATAAGCCATCAGAACTAATTTGCTCATAGGTGTGAATGTGAGTGGTCGTCCCTATGTGTCAGCCATGTGACAGACTGGCAACCTGTCCAATGCAAAAAGTATATACTGTTCAATTTGTGCAGAAAACTCACAGTGTTGTGAAAATCTTCAATGGTAAACTCAGTGAAGCCTTCATTAACCAGGTCCAGTTTACTTTTAGCTGCCACTGCTTTGAACCTTTAACAGACAAAAACAAATAAGCTTGTATTCATTAACCCTTTGAATATTACAGCTGAGGCAGGACAAACTGAAAAAGAACACAGTAGAGAGGGTTTTTTTTTTTCGTAACAGACAACAATAGTACAGTACACCTAAAAGTCGGCTGACTGCAAACATACAGTACTGTCATGCATTTGTCAGTACTGTGACAGGGATTTAAAATAAATGTATTAAATCAGCACCAGTTCAGAAAAAACTGTAAAAAATAAGCATTTAATAGTCCAAGACAACAGAAATTCAGTCTAGAGAGCAACAGCTCCTACACCCTAAATAGTACCCACTGTGACACTTACCTCTGAAGCTCTTTGCCGTCATCTAGCAGGGACTCGAGATGTGCAAAACCAAAGGCTCTGTAGAAACAGTTCCCATCTGGTCGTGTCTTACGAATGTATGAGTACTTTTTGTATAGATCCTGCAACAACAAAGGAATAGATATTATCCCCTATTGCACAATGATTAAATACAATAACTGTGTTTGACTAAGTAAGCACCAAACACTTTGTGGCACTGGAGAAAATGATGCCCTGGGGTGTGCAGAAAAATGCTGCCTTGTGTGGGTACAGTAACCTGAGAGCAAGTGGTGTGATTTATCTGACCTTGATCTTGAGCTGATAAACTGTGTCCTCCTCAGCGTATTCACTCTGCAGCACCGACAGGTCCTGTCTGTCCGACACTAAAGGGTTACTGTTGGCTATCTATACACATACACACACAGATAATTAAAATGAGTGTATGTGCTGTACAGAACACGAGTGGTCAGTTGTAGGCCGTGCTAACAATCTTGACAATGGTTACAATTTTTACCAAAAAATTTTAAAAAGACTGCACATAGATATATATTTGTATAGATTTCATTACAGAGAACTTCCACTGTAATTTTTGTTATGTATGTTTGTTACTGAACAAGCGATTATTATTAGATTACATCTGTGAAGACAAGTTTCACAGTTATCTTAACTGGACAGCTGCATATGAAGAGTTCAGGTGCATCTACACAGCTGTTTTCTGGATGTTTAATGAGAAATTAATGGAATCTGGAAACCTGATAATCCTGTTGTTCTCAGGAAGAATGATTAGTCATCTTTATGTTATCTTTCAAAATGAAAACT